ACCTAAATCAGGGGGGGCACCCTAACACCAAAGCCATGGCCTCCTCCAATGCATCCTGCAATGCTAAAATAGATCCAGTCCTACCTCCATCAGGTGGACCCTATCACTATTAAAATAAATCGCGGTGACGCATCGTGAGCCCCCCATTCCTTTCACAAACCTCGAAACCCGGGGGCTATCAGAGCTACTATGGGAAGGGGAAGACAGCCGCCTCACACTACTCCCAGCCACCAGATGATAAGCGGGCGTGGACAGCAGGGGACCGCCTCACTGACAGATAGTGACATGAGCCTGCGAGGGAGGTGAAGCAAGCCTTGCGGCTGCAGACCAGCAGATCTGTGAGACCAGGCTTTTACTCCTGAGCCCAGGAGCTTCCCCTTGAGGGGCGAAACATTCCGGTGGCCGAGCTCGCCTCCGGGGAACTCTGCTATTGCCGGGAGGGGAGGAGGCCTGAAGATGAGCCAGCTGGGCCTGGAGGTGCAGACCCCCATCTTGTAAGGCCTCAGCCCTGAAGGCAGAGAGGACAGCTTCAATATCCATACCGACCCTGGCTGCAAACAACACTTGAAAAGCAGGTATAACGAGAGCAACAACCACCAATTATCAAGCTGTTCCCAACTGATAATTAAGATGGCTGCTATCCTGTAAGATGGCAACCTATTTATACTATCCCACCCATCTACCCCATACTACTCCACCCACATCCCAAGACCACTTTACCACATTCCCCTGTATACATTCCCATTACACTCATATGTCCTTGTTCTGCCTAGGCCTTGCCTGGCTCCTCTGGGTCTGAGCAGCTATTTCTAAATTTTGATTTTCTAGAATAACAATTTTATACTTTACAGACAGTCAAGTAATAGTGATGCATTTATACACTCCTTTCCCTTTAAATTTACACTAAACGCCACAATGGTTTCTTTCAAGATAAGACTTAGTTCAGTTTTATTATTTTGTAGAAACCCTCACTAACCTGCCACCCCGATCTAGTGCCAGTCTTCACCTAGAAGATAAACACATATCTCTATTTAGTTTTAGAACTGTTTTAGAAATGCATTGCAAATTATATGATGTTAAAATAGCATTCCCCATAGCCTGGTACAACAATCTACGTGGCTCAAAAGTGCAGCGCTGTTAATCAACACCCTGGAAGGGAACCTTGTGACTTATGTGTAGGTTGCAATAGCAGTGTGCAATGCCTTAAACGAACACTATAGGCACACAGACCACTTCAGCTCAATGAAGTAGTCTGGGTGTCATGTCCCCCTATTTTAACCCTGCAGCTGAAAACATTACCATTCTACAGAATGGTAATATTTTCATTGTAGTGTTTAGGTGCCTCTAGTGGCAGTCACTCAGACAGCCTGAAGAGATACTTCAGAGGAAATATCAGAGTAAAACTCTGCTATGTCTATCTAATGGTCTCAGAGAGTACATGTGCATTAGCCTCCCAATGTATTCTTATGGGAGAGCATTAGATTGGCTGCGATCAATGATCTCAGCTACAGAGGCAGGGCCAGCCACAGATACTGGCTCTGTGAGGGAAAAAAAGGAAGAAAAAATAAATTTTATATCCCTGCAGGTGGGGGCTAGCCACCTAAATGGTTATCAGTGAACTTTCGCGTTTCTTTAACCCCTTAAGGACACATGACATGTGTGACACGTCATGATTCCCTTTTATTCCAGACGTTTGGTCCTTAAGGGGTTTATTACTACAGATGTCCGGATTTAGTTTTACTGTATTTGAGCATACCAGAAAATTTGTGCAGGCATGCTTCCGTGTTTAATAGGTCACAACCGTGTGTGCCTGTTCTTAAATGTATTAACCTAGGTGTAGTAGTTAGTCTTTTTTGTGCATATTTTCTACCTAGAAGAGCAGCAGATAGACTCCAGCTAATCTCTCTTTATGTTGCCTCTCATTCTTAAATCCCTCTACTTTTGCTTTTTAGTATTTCAGGAGAGCTGAGCTGGGAAATGTTGCAGGCAACTTTTTTGAATTAAAATTCCCAATCCCCCATTCAGTTCTCCTCAATTGCCATTTTAGTGACCTCTATTCCTTTAAATTATTACAATATGACGATAAAAAAAGAAATATGATTAGACTGAATGAAAAACCATATATATGCAATACTTGATTTCTTGTTACCATATCTCAAACTTGTATTTGTATAATACAACCTAGTATGTACCTTCGTAGAAGCCACTGACGATTAAATATTAACCTACAAAGTAAGCACCCAGCAGAAAGCAAGAGCCAGCAATGAAATCTCTGTGCTTTTTGTTCAGCTATTTTTTAGAATTGTTAGAAAATGTGCTTTTTTTTTTTTCTTACTTGTACTGCATATACAGTGCAGCAGCCAATAATCCTCATAATGACACACAACAGGAGAACAAGGCTGTGGTCACCCCATACATTTTAAAATATTCCTTTTAATAATTGGCAGCTCAAAAAGAATTTTAATATACACATACGTAATGCCTATATCAGTAGAATGATCTGCCACACTGTAAAATGAAAGACGTTAAGAAGCTTTAGTCTTGCCTTGGTGGAAAATTGGTAGTTTTTGAAAATATTGTAATACAAGATAAAAAAACAACAACAACAACTCTAGTTGCTTTTATTGTGTTCTGTTTCTATTTCAGAATCAACCCTTTGCAACACAAGGAAGCTAAGTTCTCCTTAGACTGATTGATCAGTCTGAATGCAGTCTTTTGGAGGAGAATCAGAAAGATATTACTACAAAGTCATGTTACAAATACATGCAGTCTTGCTGAAGCTATCCATAATACTCTTTGTAGGAGCAGATTCAAACATGTTTCATAATGACGTTACATTTTTTTAATAATCTCATTTTGTAAGATGATGTACATTGGATGGATCCATTTTATCATGTTTCATTACATTTTTTTAACCTGGTACAAAATAATGTTTTTAACGAGGTGTAAATATGTGCGCTAACCATAGCAGATCATTCATTTCAGGCTTGATCACCGTTTTACCCATTTTTGAGTAAAACATTTGCACTTGAATTGTTCAGGCTGCTGTGTGCCTACTGATGATGTTTGTCATGTCACTAGAATGGTTCGAATTTTATCTTCTTTAATGGAAGTGACTTTTACATCAATATGAACACTGTGCACTCATTGCCACAATTATGTGGTGAAATTTGACTCATTGCAATAAACTTCTTCTTCATTCTTTTGCTGAATGTAAATCCATGTTTTATAGTTCTAAACTTTCTTGCATTGATGGCGATTATGATCGTATGTGTAAAATGTAATACATGTTTTGAAAAAGATACACGTCTCTTGTGCTTCCATAAGAAATCTCCTCCTGAAAGGAGATATTAGGAGGGAGCTAAAGCTACTTACTTATATTCTTCTCCAATGGTATCCAGTTTTTCTTTCCATGGAAAATAAAGTGTTCTGGCAGCTTCACTCAAGACATTGACATCCATTTTTACAACCATAAACCTAGAGTACAAGACCCACCAACAGTCCAGGTTTTGTCAGTATCTCAATTGAAATAAAACAGGGAAATACATAAAAACTGGATTGTTGAGCCATGAAGATTGGTTTGGGAACCACTGGCTTAGATAACTTTTTAATGGCCAGTAGTAGTAGTAGAGGCATCACCATAAGTCATGACATAAATGTGTTTGTCTAACCGGTGGTTCTTGAAGTGGTTATTCATAATATATATGCAAAGGTTATAATGCTTGGAATGTATTAATGAAATATCCAAGCCAGAAAAAGGAGAAATCTGTGGATAGTCTAAAGTGTGCAAGGTTAGAATGCAAGTTTGTGTAGAGTGTGCATGGAGTTTATAGTGTATGCTAAGCATGTAGTGTGTGTATCTGTTAATTTTTATATAGACGTAAGCCTAGACATGGGGTGCCCCTGTTTCTATGCCAAGACTAAAGTGGGGAGTTGGATACTAGGCTGGTTGAATTAATAAAACTCCATAAAAACAAAGACTAAGGTTATATCAAATAGCCATAAGAGAGATAAGTGGCATTTCTACACATTCCTTCCATTGTATAGAGCCATCTATGTGAAGTTTTTTCTACATGTTGTACATGTTTACGTGTATGCTTTTGTAAGAGTGAGGCATGTATTGATCAGTTGTGAAAACCTATTGATTTCTATGTGTGGGGTTCAGTGTAGGAAATGATGGGCAAAATATAAAACTGTTCATGTTTTGGACTTTTTTTTGTGTGTATTTTTATACTTATTTACTCCGAACCCACTGCTATGTTGCCTATTTTTTCTTAGACTCTTTTCATTCACCAGTTACCACATTTATTTTTGCATGTTGGCAGCTTTTACAAATATAGCAGGGTATAATCAGTAAACCAGGAATTTTAGGAAATTGCAAATTTAGGCAATCAAACATTTTTCAGTTTTGCACTTCCCTTGTTGACTCTTCACAGTTACAGGTTTAGTAAATAATTGAAAGTCTTCAATGACAAAGTGCCTTTAGTGATAGCTACTAGAGGCACTTTAACATTGAAGACTTTCTATTATTGAAAAAAGTCATGTTCAGTTCTGCTAAATGTTTAAGGTGCTTCCAGTACATAAGCACGGACCATGGCAATTGCCGCATGTGGGCCTTAGTTCCCCTGGGGTTCTCTATGAGAAGCATTGGTTTTGGATTAGAGATCATAAATTAGAATGATCTCAGAAGAGGAGCAGTGACTGCAGTGAGGAGAGTGCTTGGTGATGGATTTCCATCAGCTTAACATTGTTTTTTCCTTTAAGGGGGGCTGTATCTAAAAGTACTAAGGTACACATTAAAAATAACTATACTTATTTGTAAAGTTAGTGTTCCTTTAACTATAAACTGCCAGAAACAGCACTTTCCTGATGCAAGTAAATGATTACACAATAAAAAAATACAATAGAAACAATTTCTAATGGTAGCACAAACATTTAACTTTTTAAGTTTTTGCATTTTTGATGAAAGACTTTGTAAGTCATTGTTAAATTCTGCACATTAATTCCATGCTGCTGAAATGGGCAATATGTTACTAGACCCGGTCACGCAATAAACGTTAAAAGTATAACAAACAAAGGGGAAAAGAAGAGAGAAGCAGAAGGTTCTACTTTAGATTCTTCAGTGCTTTGTGTATAATATGGATTGGACAAACTCTGGATTATTTACTAAAAACTAAAGTGTACTTAAAATTTAAGGTTAGAGTAGGTGAAGTGAAAGCATAGCTGACTTAGAGAATTTCTCTGTTTTGGCAATTTTGACTTTAAATTTGAAATTCACTTTGAATTCTCACTTTATTGAATAACCTTGATATTTCATAGTGAAGAATAATGTGCCATAACTACATAAAAAATTTTAAATTTATTCATAGGCTATAAAAGCAGGAAGTAAGTTTGGTAGTCAGGGACAGTGTGAAATTAAAATGCTATAATATTAAGAATGATGATAATTATAATAAATGCACTGCTTCAAATTTCAGCCATTTGTTGATATTCATATTGAAGGAGATTGGGATTTGTTACTGTAATAGTAATAGTGTTCCCACTATGTCATACAGATAATATATAAGGCTTCCCTTAGAGGACTGACCAATCAAACGCTTACATTTTATCTGCAATGTAATTTATCAGTGGTTGGTGAAAGAAGTCAATAATCATTTCTTAGAAAGTGCTTAAAATTTATAGCTGTAACAACAGTCATTCCTTACAACCCCATCATAATACTTTTAATTACGGAGCATAATGAGTGTTGTATACAGCAATATGTCCAGGTGAATAGATTTTAACACATCAAGCATGTTTTCTCTTCACTTACAAAAGCCAACAATGTAGAATAAAATACTTATGAATTATTAATAGTTATAAACATATATTCTACAGAATACGTGTATGTGAAAAAAAAATCATTTTCTCCTCCTGCACTGACAAAATCAATAGCTAATAATTAACATAATTGTGAAAAATTATTCATCTTATAACCAAACCAAAAAATAGGAATATCTTTATTTTAAGAAATATATAAATACAGGCACATCCCCAATATGTTATTAATAAAAAATAACTTGCAATGTGTAATATCAATAAAAAAATTATTTGCAGTATATATACATATATGTTCAATCTGTTGGCTTACTTGTAGCACATGGTTTATAATATGAAGCCTACAGACCAATCATATTTGGTAAATGTTGCATGCTTTAAATTGAAATAGCCTTTTTATTTAATGTTATTTAAAAAAAAAAGTTATGTAGATAAACAGTTCAATATTTTATGACAATGTAAACTATAATTGAATCGCTGATCAGGGAATGTGGTTTTGGTGGAATCTAAACTTTTAATACGGGGTTTTCAAACTCCACATCCCCCAGATGTTGATGCACCAGCAGCTTCCACATTTTTGAATGCAATAGAGGGAAAGAGGATTATAGAAATTGTGATCCAACAATATCTGGGGTGGTGGTGTGGGCAATGCTTGACAACCCTGTCCTGATTGGTAACCTGCAGTTGTTTTTGGTTACCTAACAGCCAAGACTTATTACATGCATAAAGAGTATTTGGGCTATTTGGAATAGAACAATAAGAAGAGTTTCTATAGTTATGGCTTAACATTTACATAAATAAAAAGCACAATGGCAGCCATGACTGATTAAAAACAGGTGGTAGATAAATACTTGATGCAGTTCATCAATACTTCTCTAGGATAACTGTTGGACATTGGAACTTGCAAATAAGTTACATATGTTAATGTGGTTTATGTGATTCATAAAAATGTTATCAGAATATCCAGATAACACATGTCAATGAACCACTGAATATTGTCCACAGTTTGCAACTTCTACAAACTATCATTGAAGGTTCCTGGTAGAATGAAGAATGTCTTCCGATACATGCTTTATTAGGGTAAGGTGTAGCCAGAGTTACTGCATCTATTACTCATAGGTTATTCACTAAAGTGTAAATGGCTGGAAAATCATAGTGAATTAATAGTCAGTTTTATATTTTAGACCAACATGGCCAAAATGAAAACATAACTGTTGGAGAATTATTCCAGTTTTAATCTTGTGGTTTAAAATGAGAAATTCACTTTGAATTCCCAAAAAGTTACAATTTAGTAAATAACCTTGTATGGGTTTTGAGGCTATCTTTAGACTTGTCTCTTCATAAACATTTTTATTATTTTATAATAGGAACTTACCTCTCCATGCTGGTGCACTTCGAGCATGCTATCTCTACATGTATGCTTTTGGACCTGTGTCTTAATACGTGCATGTGCTAAGATCTACAATATCTGCATGTCTGGTTGAATTGCACTTTTTGTGAGGATGTTTTTTTTCTACTTTTTATTGATGAGAACTGTTTCACTCGTTCTTATTGACTGTATTGTAACATGCTGAATTCTATGTGTGTACATACACTTTGTATATATAATATTTTATTTAGATGGGTAGTCTACATTTGAGCACAGAATATCCATTGTATTGTTCTTTGCCTCGACCTAAATTAATGGATGCAATAATGCAGATACATATTTTTCTTTCAGAATGATTACTGTTTTAAAATGATTTGTGTATATGACACATTTGTCTTTTATTGGGAGACAATGAAGGTATATTTTCTTATACATTGTATAAAGTTGCAAGCTTTGGTTATGGTGTGGACAATAAAAAATGGTATTTTGGTGAAATAAAAAATATGTATTTTAAGTGTAAAAATGTGGTAAATCTATTCTGGTATTTGAACTAAAGGCACATTTAAGGTATAATATTTATATGTAATAAAGAATTTAAGGTTAAAAGACCACTATATAGGGTCGGGAATAAAAATTCCGGTGCTGGCTCTGCCCCTGCTCCACCTCCTTGGCTGAGATCATCAGAATTTATCTCAGCCAATCCAATGCTTTCCCACATGTTGAGATGGGAAGAAGAGGCCCAAAGTAACAATTGGGCTTCTATAGAAGATTTTCTCTTTAAAGAAATGCATCTGAATTCAATTATTTTTCGAGATGATTTATCTAGTGGTTTAGTCCATAGTAAAGCTTCGACATTTTGGTACACTATAAAAAGTTGGCGGAAATTGAATCATAAATATTCTTTGATTCCATTTCCAAGCCTGATTTCTCCCATCTCATGGATTCAAGAAAATATTAATTCTCCTCTGTTAGAGATCTTAGCAAAAGGAGGATGGAAATATTTGAGAGACTTATATGTAAATGATCTATTTCTCCCATTTGATTATATAAAGTCCAACTTTAATACTCCAACTAGTATGTGGTTGGAATATAATAGGTTGAAATTTAGTATTTACTCTTTAGGGTATCGTCTAAAGGAGGTCAGACAGTTGACACCATGTGAAAAAAATAATGAGTTCATCAAATAGGAAGCACATGCTTTCAAAATGTTTTAGCCTTTTGAGAGATTTGAATATTAAGTGTTTAAATATAAGAATTTGGGAAGAAGAATTAAATCAATATTGGCCCATGGAAATGTGGCTTGGGGCTTCTGCTTTAACTGATAAATTAAACACGTCTCATATAGGGAGATATATTTTAAAATTGTAAACAGATGGTATGTAGCCGGTTAAGCTTTGGAAGATAAAGAAAGATGATACTTTTAAACTTTGTTGGAGAGGCTGTAACCAAGTAGGTTCAGCGATCCACATGTGGTGGTCTTGTCCATATATGCAAATGTATTGGAAGGACGTAAAATATGGGATATCACAAATTATTGGTGAACAAATTAATTTAACCCCAGAATTGGCGTTGTTTCACTTTATACCTAGTTAACGTACCAAAGAACTAAAATCCCTCCTGCTTCATATTTTATCAATAGCGAAATGGTTAATCGTCATCAACTGGAAAGCAGTTAGGTTGCCAAACTGGCCAGATGTGGAAAGGGTGATGCAGAGAAATAGAATACTAGAAAGAGAGGATGGACATTTAGGGGTTTATACAGCTCCGAAGTATAGATGGGCGCTTTGGGACGATCACTGTTTGACCCTTGGACAAATTATGTTATAGCCATTTCTCCCCCTCAGCCCACGTCCCCATGGATCCTTGGAAGAATGTATGTGAGTTGTGTTTGTTTGTTTGTATGTGCTTGTTAATTATAGGTATTTTTGGTATCATATGGATTTACCATCTCTTCCTGGGTTATCCTTTATATGACCTTTTTCTTATCTCTCTACTTTTGTTTATATAGGGCGCCTCTATCTCTAGTATAGATGATGGTCATATCATACAGGGTATCATTTCTAGGATATTATGGTAAATGATGATCATCGCGGGGCGTTGGAGAATGCCTCTATCAAAAGATATAAGGGAGATCTGGGATTTTAGATGGGTAGTTAGATGAAGGGCACAGGTTATTCATTTTACTTCACTCTATCAATATATTAATATATTTTGTACTGTTACATAGGTTGTTGTGTATGTTTTAAGGAACTTGTGCCAAATTAATGTTTATGTAAAGATGGTTGTTTGTTAAGGATTTTTTTATGGATTTATTTGTGATAAAACTAAATATGGAAGTTGAATGATCAAAAAAAAAAAAATAAAAAAAAAATTTGAGCAAGCAAAAAATACAGCATATTAATGAGGCCAAAACCTATCAAATACATTAAGTATTGTTGGTGCCTGGAGTGTACCTTTAAGGACCATATGCCCATACACACTGCAGTGCCAATAGCATTAATATCGTGTTTTGTTGTTGTTTTTTTTGGGGGGGGACGACTAATTTACTCCCTAAAATGTACTCAACCCAACCAGATTAAGTAATTTGATGTTTTGTAGTTTTCGTCAATAAAGAAATATAGGAAAGAATAAAGGAATAATTATCATCAGTAGTCTGGAGCTGCAGAATTTGGGTCAGCTCACACAACTTTAGTTACAGTGCATAACTTTTAAATTTAAAAAGATCAAAATGATCAGCAGTGCATCTTTTTTTTAAAAATCTTTTTGGCATATATCATGAAATAATAGTGCATTGTTTTTCTAGCCTTTCGGGTACTAGTGCTCAAATCAGTGAAAATTACCCTTATGTTTTAAAGAAAAGATCAAACAAAACCTCATAAAGCATAAAACATTTTTATATATATTATACAATATTTTGTATTGTTGAAAATTAAATTAACTGACATAAGACAGAGTTACCTTGTGACCTTTATTATATTGTTATGTTATAGCATGGTGATCCATGGACTACTGGAGAGATGTATTAATCAATATCCAGCTGGTGAACCTAGAAAGTTTGGTGTATACTCCATATTTGTCTTTCTGTGCACATTTGTCTCCCCAGCTAGTAATGCCAGTTAGGAACCAAAACGAGTTGTATTCTGTAGCATGGGGTCCACCACTGTCTCCTTGACAGGCATCTCCACTTTGGTCAGAATAGCCGGCACAGAACATATTCATATGGATAGAATATCGACTTGACCTTTTACAGATGGCACGGTCAATATATGGCACAGTGAGTTTTTGAAGAATAATAGCTTGCCCTCCTTCGAATCTTACATCTCCCCAGCCAGTCACAACGCTAACGTATTGACTCTTCAGTAGATCATCTGTGAAGTCCTTGCTACCGATACAAATTGGTCTTACATAATCATTAAACTTTAGTGGCTGTTCAAGCTCTAAAAGAGCTATGTCGTTAATGAACTTACTCTTGGTGGCATTATAAGTGGGGTGTGGAATAATTTGTTTTACTTTCATGTACTGTTCGGTTCCCTCCTTAATCTCTGTATTATGTTCGCCTGTAAATAAAATATATAAAATTGTTGTATATAAAAACAAAAAAGATGTTTGAGTAGCCAGACATCATGCTTGTCCTATTCAACAAGCCTCTTTTCAAAACCGTTAAAATGTACTGAACACAGTCAAGAAAGGAATATGAAATAACACACATTCAGCACATTATGTTCTAATTTTCTGTTTTTGTTGTACAACCTTAACTAGGGTTGGACAACAACTAGCATACCTCAGTCTAAACCAACTGCGCACTCTCAAACTGGCTGATTAAAGAACCACTATAGGCACCCAGACCACTTCAGCTTAATGAGGTCCATCTAGGGTTAACCCTGCCTGCTGTAAACATAGCTGTTTCAGAGAAACTACTATGTCTACATTTGGGTTAATCTAGCCTCTAGTGGCTGTCTCATTGACATTGATTTTCACAGTGAGAAGACGCCAGCGTTCATAGGAAAGCATTCCTATGGACTGACTGTGCGCGTGGCTCTTGCCGCTGATGTCGGAAGGAGGAGGAGAGTCCCCAGCACCGAGGGAGCCCGACGCTGGAGATAGTTAAGATTTTAACCCCTTCCTCCCCCTTCAGCCTGGCGGGAGGGGGGGTCATGAGGGTGGGGGCACCCTTAGGGCAATATAGTGCCGGGAAAACAAATTTGTTTTCCTGGCACTATAGTGGTCCTTTAAGAGAGTTGTAGCCTAACCGCTGCTGAATTTTGCAAGATAATGGATATCATATAATCTGTAAAATTTTGCATCTGCATCAAATTCCTGTAAAGAATATACAATTAAAAGGGACACTCAAGTCACCATAACAACTTTATCTAAATAAAGTTGTTATGGTGCCAGGAAGCCCCCAGGTGCACTCTTTAGATACACTTCTTTTCTATCTTTGAGGAGCTACCGATTAGCATAGAGGATCAGTTGACCACTCTAGTTAATCAGCGGCCCCTCTGCCCTGCAGCACTCTGTGATTCCTGAAACAGAGAGTTTATAGCCGGATGCTGCCAGAGGAACCTACAAATCAGCGCTGGAGGCATGCATCAGGGTTAAACCGTTCGAGAACAGTTTAACCCAATAAGGTAAGAGTGCAACCGGGGCCTCCTGGCACCATAACAACGTAATTTAGGTGCCTAAACTGTTCCTTCAAAAAGTAAAGCTGCAAATGTGAAAATTTTAGTTGTACCTGAACAGCAATCAGAACAGAAAATTGTTGTTTGCCCATATTTTTAAGTACCATACATCAATGATAATTTTATTTAAAAACAAAAGAACTTGGCAGTGAAGAGGATAATTTTTGCTGAACTGCCAATTGCAGAGGTCCTACAAGTGTTTGTCTACATGCATTCATTTTCTTAAAATTATGATTTATTACACTAATCACAAGATTATGACACATGGTTTGAGAATGAATTTGAACATAATACACCTACATGCACACAAATAATCTTTCAAGGCTTTTACAAACACCTTTCTCATATTAACTATCCTCCTGAGACCCAGCCCATTAACTTGTGTCCTCTGTACTGGACATCTCGTTCACATGCATCTTCTTTTATTTTTGTGAGCTACTCTATCAATCCCTGCTGTATGGTAAAGAGGACATCCTGGGCTTTCCAGTGATATGTCATGTGATAGGCTGGGATGCTGGGAACTAACTCTTTCTTTTCATCGAACATAGATGACATATTGGAAGACAATTTTTTCCTCGGTTCCGAGGAGGATCTATGAGGATTTTGCCACACTATAGGACCATTTTGTGTTTTGAGAAACCCTCTTGCCAGGTGAAACACGTTAAGTGTATTTATTATTATCTACCTCACTTTGAGTGTATTTTTTTTGTTCATATTTTTATATTAATTACCTTTAAATAAACTTTTTTATTAGACCAACTGTTGCTGCTATTCTGCTCTAACTACCATATCCGTGGTGTGGATTGTACCACCCCAGCCCGAGGGATAGAGCAGTCCCCATCTGCTCCATCAAATGTGAGTAAATTTCTTACCACTTTTATTGTATTCTGTGCCTTAAGGTACACACTATTTTGGTTTTTCTTTTTGTCCTATATTTCTGGATGGAAAAGACCATTATCTATACCTACAGTGAGCACTATATTCTGCCACCTTTTATCTTTTTGGTTGAATTACTCTGCTGCCACGCAAGATTGGAAGCTTGGAGAACTACATGTATCCTTGAGTGGGGATTTTTCCACTTCATGCTTTTCTAAACCAGAGCTGGATTTTAGCTCTGGGAAATGAAAGTAGTATCTCATTTATAAACCTCTTGGAATATCCTGTACATACCATACCATTGGAGTTCCCCTTTGCTTTCTCTCCAAATGTTCTACTGGATCCCAAGTTTTATTCTGTGACATCACTATCATCAATACATCTGCTGCTCCGTAAAGAATCTTTCCTTACCTACTATTGCACTGCCTTACTTGAACATTTGTTAAGTTAATTTATATATTTATCACTTACAGGCGCAACCTTTTTTGCTTTTCTTTGTCTTTCATATTACACTCATATTGGTGGGTACTAGAGGGGGACCCGTCTCTTTATAGGTGTGCTGCCTACACTTTTTAAATTACAACTTGTGGCGTGTTAGCGCTGATTCTTCTTTAACTTTTCTATCAATTTCTGTTTATGCCCACCACTTTTTACAGAACAAATTTCACCAGTATTGGTGGGTTCTAACCTACATTTGCGAATCCTAGCTCTCTCGTCCAATTACCCAATAGTTAGGGTGCACCTACTCCTCTCAGACATGTTGCAGGAACCAAGCATGCAGTCCCTTCTTTGACAATATGGGACCATATGACATATAATTTGAATTAATCTCCATATTTTTTAATATGGTAAAGATGTTTTTAAAATAGCCATGAAAGGTTATCTGTGTGTGTCCACAGCCATATTGCTGTATCAGCTATAAAATGTGGTATTTTTAGGCTTCAGCAGCACCACAACTAAATCATGCATGTTTTGGCGTGATGATAAATAGTGTTTTGGTATGAGTAAATAATTTGTGTTTAACATTTTCAACAAATATGCTGCGACTTAACCTATAAAACTTAGGGACCTATTCACTAAACAACAACTCGATTGTCACATTTCAGCTGTTTCAACTGAATGCAATAAATTCAGCTACTCACAGAAGGGAAATTTAGTTATTTCAAGCAATTTGCACTTCCATGCAGCTACAATTTAGTTGTCTGTTGAAATCAGCCACATCTCCATATAACTGATTTGTTTGTTCATGGACAGCTGAACCGCAATGGGATTCTCTGCATTTGCTTGATCCAATTCTTCTATTATAGACCAAGGAAATAGCACTCATAATTCTAAGTCCTTCTATCCCTAAGTCACCTTAAAAAAAAAAAAATAATGGGGGGGTTAAGATTATTATTATTATTTTTTTTTTTAAATTGCAGCAATGGAATTCAACTGCAATTCCACAGCAATTTGGTTACAACTCAGTGGAGCCATTTTCAGATAATTCTCACAGCAGCATTGGGATCCATTTGAAAATAGCAGGGATCTGTTTTCCTAAATTCAGTTTCCATAGGTTGAAAGTGAATTTTATCATAAAAGAAACAATACCAATTAAACTAAAGTATAGAAAACAAATTTGGCATTTAGTGAGCAGTCTCCTTAGAACAATCTCACCATTTTTTACCTCTTCAAAATTTGGAATTGTAACAAAGATTCCATTTTATATATTCATTATTTTTAAAGGAACACTATGGGCACCATAACCACTGCAGTGTTCTATACAGATTGTGTTTCCTGACCCCCCAAATGTAAGTTGCCACACTAATTGCTATTGGTTTGACATTTTACATTGAATCCACCAGGCTCTGGTCATTTCCTCCATGAGAGCCAGAAGCTCTCTGCATTGAGCCAAGCCTGGCACTACAAGGTTTAGCTCATTGGCTGAGAGCAACAAGCTCTCAGCCAATGTGCAACCTGAACAGCTGAGTTTAGCTCAGGTGAGTTAAGTGATGCTATGTGCAGGAGCTTCCTCAATGGAGGCATGGGTCGGAACCTTGGAAAAACAGGTAATTTTCAAAGAGTTAGCTGTTTTTCTACTTACATTGCAGAAATAGGCTGCATGTTTGCAGTGGTTATGGTGCTTGTCGTATTCCTTTAATGAGTAAAAGAATACGGTCAATCATTTTCTTCTTTCTTTACCGATCTGATCTTCTATTGTATGCAAGAATCTCTTGCTGCATTCGCTTAATGTATTATTACTGTTACTATTAACATCTGTCAGTTGACGTTTACCTGCAACTACAAGAAACTTTCCAGGTATATTAAAGCAATGGGCTGCAGTCACTATCCATTTCTCATTCACAATTGATCCACCACAGAAACCTACATTGTTTGTATTGACCAACAGGACCTGCACATGGAAAAAAAAAATTTGAAAAAATTAACATATTACATAGATACAATATAGTTCTTGCTGTATTTTCAAAAAGACTCTTAGGTAACATTTTTTGCAAAGGAAATAAAGAAAAATATTTTGCATTATAAATAGCAATCTATTTACATTACACAACAAAATATAAGGGTTTTAAAACTTAGTAAAGTGTTCAACCAGGAAATGTACATCAAGTAGACATGTGCAATTCGTTTCGGTCTGAATTTAAATTCAGCAGAATTTCGGCAATTCAGACATTCGGATGCTTCCGAATGTCTGAATTGCCGAAAGTGCCGAATTTCCAAAGTGCTGAACTGAACCGAAGTGCAGAATTTCGGAAGTGTCGAAGTGCTTCGGATTTCTGAAAAGTGTCAAAACAGGAGAGGGAGGGTTAGGGTAAGAGGTAGGGTTAGGGGAAGGGTTAGGGAATTGCTGAAGTGCCGAATTGCTGAACTCCTGAATTTCGGAATTGCCGAACTAAATTATTTGCCCATGCACATCCCTAACATTTAGCTTTAGCCATTTAAAAAAAAAAAAACACATCTCAGCAACTAAATGTTATTACTCAACCCAAAAAAACATCCTATGTACCATAACCACAATAATCTGCTGTAGTGACCCAACGACTAACCTGAGCCTATGGGTGCAGTTCCTGCTTCTGGATTCTCCTGAAAAGGGAATCCAGTTAGCTCCACTGAGTTAAGCAGGGATGCTCTCATGAGCACAGCCTTCTATCAGGTTGTCCTTAGCTCCGGGGAGACACCTGGCACCATAACCATTACAGCATGCGGTAGTAATTACGGTGCTTGACTTTGCTGGTTATTGATGCTATTCTTGATGCTATTCTTTGATATTTAACCTTGAATCCTATCAGTTGAGCTATTGCTGATCAGTGAGGGTTATAAGAACTTATTTTTGGCAATCCAAAAATATTTATTGATCACAAAATTAATTTAACGGGGACCTGGTCTACCGCAGCAAACCTTGGATTGCAAAGATATAGTTTTGTTATATTTGTTCTCTGATGCAGAAGTATTAATTTATGTATTCCCCTTTTTATTTTAATGTAACTAATACAAATTCTTCTATAGTTTCTATTTATTTTTTCGTGTTGGGGAAAGGCATAAAAATGATTTTCTTGTGGTTGAAATTAATCCTGTACTTTGACCATTGGGAGGCATCTACCAGCACATTTGCTCACAGTATTCTCTAACGAAACCCAAATAATACACATTGTATACTTTTGGATACCTAAAAAAAAACCCATATATATATTTTTGCTATTAAAAGCTTACATGAAACCGATCATATACATTTAGTGTGCCAACAATTATTTATTTTTGTTCCTCTTTCAGATTTTTGTGACTTTTTTCTTGATAATATTATATGTATGTAATTTACTAAAAGGTTGTAGTTGCATTAACAAAACAAAATAACATAAAAAATACTTGGTGGTGATGTAATAAATTAAACTTGAAAGCAGATCAGCTCCCAAATTCTTGAGTTTCTAAAATGCTTCATTGCAGATTACAAGAAACTATATATCCACCAGATGGCAGCAAAGTTTATGCTTATTTTGTTGAAGGAGAACATTGAGCGTTGCTAGAATGTGACAACACACAGGCAAACAGATTAAAATGCTGTTTAATGATTTGCTTTGACCCGAGAGAAAAAGTTGACACTTCTTATAAAAGACATGATGGATAATTTGGACCAACAGTAAAAACAGATGTGAAAAAGGCTGAACTTGGACGCATGTCTCTTTTCAGCATACGTAATAATACTTGTGAAATCCTTAAACAATGTTTGATAAGAAACCATTCTAGATAGTAGATATTTGAAAGAGTTGGCTAAGGTATTTTTGAATCGTAAAAACGTGTTTTCCGTAGAGATTTATCATTGCTGCTGGTGTGTAGAAAAATTGGCAAAGGGATTTTTTTATTTTTTTATTTAATGTATATCTTTACATTCCTATTTGATATTATTTGATGTCATGTTTAACCCTTTTTTCCCCAATGTGTTTTATTATTAATAAGTCACTATAACAAATATAATGCATTCAATTTCCATTTCTCTTAGTCTATGACTAAGCCCACGGTTGGACAAAATGTATTGGGCAAATAGGATAATTGTCAGAGTGGGATAAAAACTCTTGTAGCTGTGTTTTAGCCATTAAGATACTAGAAAAATGAAGCTTGCAATTTTTATGAAGAACCCTATTCAAATTGTGATGTAACATTTATTTTTGTGAATAATCTGCAAAGTTCTTTTTTAATAATGATCCAGTTGTATGAGACTTTAATATATATACATATCATACCTTCCAACATTAGCAAGTATAAAATTGGGAAAGGTGGGTGGCCCTTAAGGGGCATCACCAATGACATAGCTTGCATCACTGGTAACGCCCAATATGGATAAGCCCCTAACCTAAACATCTTATGCAGTGTTCTACTGCCCATTCACTGCTCAAGCACATCTAATAATGCTCTGGAGGTGTGCTGCTCAAGAACAGTTTCTTGGTTCCCCTGGATGTGAGACACCAGAGAACAAAATCGAGACAGTGGGACAGGACCTCGAAATCTGAACTGTTGTGAGGAACCTGCTATATGTTATTAAAATTACATATTAATTAAAATAAATAGCTACTGGCCTAGTGGTTTCTGTGGTTTTGTATGGAGTAGTATTGCTAAGATTAAAATGATTTTTTTAATGTTGCGACTTACACCAGCTAGTAAATTGCATTTTACACCAGCTAGTAAATTGCATTTTGGTCCATTTTGCCTGAAATTCTGATTGGTCACCACAGCCTGTATCTGTAAATAGCTAATAATATACGTGGTCAATAATGGTACACAAAATTACCTTTAGATGAGACAAGTTAAATTGTATAGTAAATTAACAAAAAAATGAGTACCTGCCATGGAAATTCACCTTTCAGACTGTCAGTCCCTCCAACAATCTTGGTATCTGGATCTACAGTTACAGGAATAATATCGTCAGAGGTCTCCTGAGGCTCGGTTACATTCTGTACGTTAATACTGGTCGAATTGTTTTCTTCAGAATCCAAAATTGAACGGGTGATAACTTTTGGTATAGCTTCAGGTGCACTAACTTTTCCACATGGATATAATACTGTGAATCATAAAGGGAGGCAACATTACTTTTAAAACATATGGAAATTGTACTTATGTATGTAATAAACTTTTACCAAAAATTTTGAAATTTTTACTGTATGAATATTATGTTTAAATATATTACAGTGGTTATAAAATAACATTGCTTTTGGATCAGTTAAGTTTAAATAATTAATTTGACATTGCGTAATTTATAATAGCCGTTCCCATAAAAATAATACTAAAGGACACTTCAGGTACCAAAAGTATACATGTATGCAAAATAACCATACTGATGCAAACAAATAAAGTATCTAGAGCCAGAGCTCTAGCTATTTTTCTTCTAATTCTGTGAGGAAGCAGAGTAACACTTAGTAACAAATATCAGCTGTACATCACCCATAAAACCTTGCACACAGCTTCCTAATTCAATTAAGCCAGATGCTTCCTTTAATTTGACACCAGGCTCTTTTGTTCTGTGGAATGAAAAGTTATTGATGTTAAGCACATACAAACTCAGTGACTCCCCCAACATTACTGGATTGCAGTAGCTTAAATTGGTGGGCTGCTCAACTACTCCAAATAAAATAATAGCATATTTATTTAAAATGATACAAAACAAAAAATATTACAGGTTTAAAAAATCCAAACAACAACCCATTCTTAAAATGGCAAAATTGGTTATAGTCTTTATTTCATGGAATATGAGACAATTTTATTTTATTGAAGGCATTCTGCAGTTTCATATATTTTTCTTAATGGTTTAAAAAAATATATATATTTCATATATATATTTCAGGAATCTCTTGTGCAATTTGGTGTCTCAATGTTTACGTACCCATGTTTCTTATACTTAAATTTAGATATCTTTTTCCATAGGAGTGGTTGACATGCCTTCACGTAGGTGCGATCTCATATCTCCTTTTTCCCCTCTTTATATGCCTTGCCAAAGAATGATACTTGAGTTGAAAAGTTTACCAAGTAACATATATACCTTAGCGTAGTTAAATTGTCATCCCAGCTGTCATATTTGTCTTATGATATGCCTTTGTATTTAAATATAAATGTTCAGTGAAAAATCAATAGGTAGGGCAAGAAGGTCATATAGAAGCTGTAGCGGAGCTTCCTGTACCCCGGCTGGGTACCTCCGCCAGAGGTGTTGCTTCCTAGCTGGATCAGGGGAAATGAATGGGAACTAGCTCTTTAAGTCCTTACAAGGACTTTCCCTGCTGCATCCCCTGCAAGCTGGAACAGCAGACACAGGGGTTAAATCTTCCTTCCCTCCAGTAACCAGACGAGACACAGTTCTGGAGGTACAAACTCTGACAATCTTTACTTGGAACACACAGCTTTTATGCACAGACCTCAGCAGGGGGACTCCATTCAGTCCAACACAATCCCAGGCAGGAGGGGGCTGGGTTACAGTTAGCCATCTCCCACTTTGTGAGATCCGAACAGTACACAGGGACACACATTAAAATCCATTATATACGGGGGGGGGGGGTAAGATTTCGGGCTCAGCACCCCAGGAAAGGAAGGGGTCACACAGATAAAACCTATACCACTAGATAGCCCCAGGTCCCATCTGGAATTCCTACAAATAGCAGGGTGATTGGATGTACGGAGCCAGATCATTGTCTAAGGTCTGGGGCTCGAGGCTCTGTACATCCCCGAAATTAGTACTATGAAGTTGCTTGGTTTAGTCTGGCGAATTCAAACTTCTCACCCAAACCAAGCTGAAAGGTGCTTAAACAAATCGCGCCAATCAGCTCACAGGGAGGAGAGAAAAGTTGCCACCCAATCAGGAGAAATGGCGTGAAACCCCATTTGAAAGAGCGCATCCTCCTCTGATTGGTCACATGCACCCTGCAGCAACCAATCAGCGCCGGTTCGTGCCAATCAGGATAATGGCGCAAACCCAGTTTGAATGAACGGGGAGCAGGTGAAACTCATGAATACATCACAATTACATTGGGAAACACAGAATGCAAGGGAAAATCGTGTGAATAAGCATTGGGAAAACAAAATACAAAGGCAAAACATATGAATATTCAGTGGGCATGGTAGTTAGTGGTGGAGGCCCACTACAGAAGCGATTACACAAATCTTCAAAAAATTATTACATTTTTTTTTACAATTTGTTCCATGTTAACTCATAGTAATAAAAAAAAATAAGTTACATTCTTTTATCATAAATAGGACTATTTTTATTAACTGAATTCTAATTAGATAGGCAGATATATTCCTATATGTACTATAGGAGTGCAGCTATTATCAAACAGTAATGTACTTCTTGAAGAGCAGAATACGATGCCAAATCCTTGTACTTCCTGTAAATGTCACTACTGAAACATTGGACCCAACATCTATGCCATCAGACAAAAGTTATTAGTGCTCTCTCAGATGATATGACAAGTTATGAAGCCAGAAAGCCAGACGTGATTCATGATACAAGGTGCCAAAATAATTGTAACCTGCTTTTCATTGCATAGTTATGCAAGCGAATCAGGAATATCAGTAAAAGGAAAAACATGACCAGAGCCTAAAATTATTTAAATACCTGCATTTTCACATGACTTGCCATCTTCTGCCAATCGGTATCCACTTGCACATAAACAAATAACTTTTTTTATAGGATCGTCTTTGCACATGTGTTGACAACCACCATTTGCAATGGAACATGTGACGGGCAAGGCTGTAAAGTGGTACAAACACAATTAGTCCAGCTTGAATCACATTGTCCAGCCAACAAGTTACACTATAAAAGCAAAACCTCTGGATTTAACAGTAAAAATGAATGTCTGATAAAGCATTGTTTTGCTATTCATTTATTAGATAGATTCACTTTGAATTGACTTTGACTGCAAAGCCTACGTGGATAAGGAACCGGTTCTATATTGGAAGAAAACAAACGTATTCTTCCTTTAGCTATGAGTATAGTTTACTTTTAATTATTATTAAAAATGTAAAATCTTTAATATTCAGGAATATTCCGATTTTCTCAATAAGAGTTTCACCACTCCGCAACAAATTGCAAACAATTAGATGGAGAACCTATAAAACATTTGGACATCTTGCTACCCTCAGCATATTCACATATAACCCAAAGTACATTCTATATCTAATCCAACCACATTTTCTTCCTCACTTCACCCACATTTTAAACTTTAATTTTAGACACAAAGGACCATACTAACCCATTGGTTAAACAGGGAAATTCCTGGTGGGTCACCTTCAGACTAAGTTATTCTGACTTCTTTGGCTTTGGACATTTTGTCCACCTGCCATTTTATCTCAGTGTGGAAAGAGAATGGGAATATGACTTTACATTAGACATGTGCCCCAGAAATTTTCGTTTCGTACGAATGATTGCAAACTGAATAAAAATTTCAGTGGTCAATCCCAAATTTCGTCTGCAAACCATTAGTTTTAGAACGAAATTTGTTAAAAAAAAACAATTAGTTTTCCTCCATTAGAACAAAAACAGCACTGTGCATGTACCCCCCAGGTCCCCACCCATGTGCGGTGGGTGGAGATCCTAAATAAATAATCGTGGGCACCTAATGTCCCCCCAGATCCCCACCCATTAGTGACGGGTGGGGGTCCCTAATAAATTAAAGGGGGGACCTAATGTCCTCAATGGTACCCACCCATGAGCAGCAGGTGGGGACCCTAATTAAATAATAGGGGGGGACTTAATGTCCCCCAGTTCCCACCCATGTGCGGATGGTGGAGACCCTAATGGATTAAAGGGGGGACGTAATGTCCTCCCTAGGTCCTTACCCATGAGCGGCGAGTGGGAACCCCAATTAAGTAAGGGGGACTTTATATCCCCCTTGGTCTCCATCCATGAGCTGCGGGTGGGGACCTAATGTCTCCCCCAGGTCCCCACCCATGAGTGGTGGGTAGGGACCCTAAATAATTAAATAATGGGGGGACCTAATGACCCGCCCCAGGTCCCCACCCATGATTGGTGGGTAAGGACAACAAATAATAAAGTGACTAGGGGTCCCAAAGCTCCTAGTCACTTCCCCCCCCACTAAAAATACCCTACCTTCCCCCACACCCAGTAATAGTGAAGGGGGGCAATAAACTAACACTGTAAATTAAAATTTCATACTTACCATTTGATGTCTTCTTTTTTTCTAAAAAAACTTATTTTTTCAGCCCCAAAAAAGGACAAATAAAAAACCATAATACCCGTCAAACTTAAAAAAAAAAAAAAAAAAAAAAAGACGAAAAAGAAAGAAAGCAACCAATCAGAGGAGTATGAGTCAAATTACACAGCATGGGGAAATTCCAAAGAACTTTCCCTTGCTGTGTAAAATGACACAGAGCAACTCTGATTGGTTGGATTTCAAGCCAACAAGAGTGCTGTGACAGGTAAATTTAGACACTTAACTGTCAGTCTCTTAATTTACCTGTCAGAGCACTCTGTCAGTGCCTTAAACCAACCAATCTGAGCACTCTGAGCCTAATTGCAGGTGTGGGAAGGCTTTATAAACTTTTCTCCGCCCAGCAGAGATCTTTCTGCGCCGTGCACTCCATGGGTGAAGATGGATTATTTTTTTTACCGTCTGGATTTTTTTTTTTTTTTTGTCTGATTTTTTTTTTTGGCGCTCAAGTTTTTTATTTTATTTTCAAAGTTTGATTGGTATTATGTTTTTTATTTGGCCTATTTTGGGGCTGAAAAAATAGGGTTTTTTTTAGAAAAAAGAAGACATCAAATGGTATGAAATTTTATTTTACAGTGTTAGTTTATTGTCTTCCCGTCACTATTATTAGGTGGGTGGGTAGGTAGGGTATTTTTGGGGGGGAGGAGTGACTAGGGGCTTGGGGACCTCTAGTCACTTTATTATTTGTGTTTCCCACCTGACATTAGGTCCCCCCAATTATTTAATTATTTAGGATCACCACCCGCTGCTCATGGGTGGGGACCGGGGGGCATTAGGTCCCACCTTTAATTTATTAGGGTCTCTACCCGCCGCTCTTGGATGGGGACCTGGGGGGGCATTAGATCACCCCCATTCTTTATTTAATTAGGGTCCCCATGCGCCGCTCATGGGTGGAGACCCCCAGTTTATATTAATAGCCCCCACCCGCAGGCCCCGGGTGGGCACTATGTCCCCCCATTTTAGGTATTTGTGTTCCCTACTATGGGGAATCAGTAGAACCTGTGACAGATACCCCGTATTGCACTAGTGAGTGGGCAGCAGTAGCTGCCCAGTCACTAGTACTTTTAAATTTGTTCGGGGGCATGCAGGAGGATTTAACCACCCTTTTATAAATATAGGGGTCATAGTGACCCCCATACTGATTTACATTTAAATGTGCCTCAAAATCAAGCAGAGCCCCTCCTGAGTTTGGGTTTTGGATCTATTCTTACTTTACATAATTTCCCTGCCCCTTCAAATTTACAGCAAAACTAAAAAAAAATAAAAAAAAAATTACAGTGAAGAAGTGGTGGAAGGGAATAAGGATTTCAATTTAATTCTATCAACCACAAAAAGTCTATAATTATTAGCATATTTTTTTCTAATAAATATCACTGGATTTAATGAATTGGAAGCACATTTATCTCTGCTAGTGATGTCCCGAACTGTTCGCCGAACTGTTCGCGAACGGTTCACCACGAACTCCAGTCAGCTGACACATTCCAGCCAATCAGCAGCAGACCCTACCTCCCAGACCCTCCCACCTCCTGGACAGCATCCATTTTGAAGCTGCATTCTTAGTGAGCTGTCCAGGATGTGGGAGGGTCTGGGAGGGAGGGTCTGCTGCTGATTGGCTGGAATGTGTCAGCTGACTGGAGTCCGTGGCGAACCGTGGCAAACAGTTCAGCGAACAGTTCGGGACATCACTAATCTCTGCTAGTCATGAAAATGTTTTTTTTTTTTTAATCCTGTATGACCTGCATATTAATATAAAGGACGTTTATGACCGCCTTTAATAATAATAATAATTGTGCCATGCAATGGCTTCACTCGCTTATTAAAAACTAGGGAATGGGCCCATTTGCTAATAAAATACTGTGAGTCCTAATACAGGTCCCTCCAATGCCCCCACCCATGGGGATTAACAATGGTATGTCCACCGCCACATTGTCATTAATAGCCCCCCCCCCCCCAACCAAAGCCTATGGGGAGACAAGGCATGTTTACCCTCTCTTCTATATATTTTTTAAATAACTCATATGCCCACTAGAAGGTAAAAAGTGAAAAAGACATTGAATCCGATAAGGTCTTTTATCAGGTGTAAATTAAATGAAAATACCTAATCCAGTATTTTCAATGTAAAATATAGGTATCAGTTTCAATATTCAAACCAATATTTATGTTTTCTGTAAGCCTTTAAAATTGGCAATTTTTATTGATCAAAAACTAATCAAAAGCTTATCGGGAGCCCTATCAGCTCTAATTAAATTGAGACCATGGATACATGTTGGGGGATAGCTTGAGAGAGAAATATTTTTAAAAAAGGTGAAGAAAAAGACAATTGTAAGGTGGAGAAATGGAGAATAACGGTGGGGGTGGAGGTGAGAGGTCCACAAAAATACATTCCTCCATTTAAACACACATACACACCCATGCATTCACATACATGACACATTTACAGTTGTGAGCAAAATGATCAGCTGTTTGCAATGAACAAATCAAATAAAAGCAATTGATGTAGCTCAACACAACAAATGCTTCAAGTGGTTTTTCCAAATTCAGCTGAAAATGCAACTTACAATGGCTTCTCTAGTCTCAAAATTATGTGAAAAGCCCTTAGAGTGACTGCAAAAGACTTACAGCCAGACTTGATGGCAACAGGCAAAGAGGTTTTTAGTGAGCACAGTAAGGTGCGTACTTAATGCATGAGGTTTCCATGCCAGAACGCCAAGATGTAAACGACTACTGACCAAAAAGCACAAGAAATGTTGGCCCCAATATGCTCAAAATCATATAAATATACCACAGAAGTTTTGGGATTCTGTTCTGTGGCGAGATGAAACAAAACTGGAACTTTTCGGCCAAATGGATCATTGGTATGTCTGGAGGAAGAAGAATGACACATACTCTGAAAATAACACTATCCTAGGAGATATTGTCCATCTGTCTGTGAGGAAGCTGAAGCTTGGGCTTCATTGGACCTTTCGACAAGACAATGATCCCATGCACACCTGAAATTCCACCAAGGCTTCTTTGCAAAATAAGTCCTGGAAAATTCTACAGTGGTCATCACGGTCACCTGACTTGAACCCCATAGAAAATCTCCGGTGAAATTTGAAGAAGGCGGTTGCAACATGCAAACCTACTAAACTGGGGGCAATTGCTCACGAGCAATGGGCAAAAATTGCTCAGAAACACTGCCAGAAGCTGGTATCTGGCACTGCATCACGTTTGCAGCAGGTCATAACAGCAAAACTACTAAGTACTAAAAATGCTTGCCATGAAGGGGTAGAATAATTTTGAGACTGAAGATGTCATTCTAAGTTGCATTTTCAGTTGAATTTGTGGAAACCAAAGCATATTCATTGTGTTGAGCTATTTCAATAGCTTTTGCTTGATTTGTTCATTGTAAACAGCTGAAATTCTGTGCATTTTGACAATAAACCCGATTTTCCAATGGGGGGTTGAATAATTTTGATTGCAACTGTACATATATGTACTTCATAACACATTAACACTGATACTAAGAATTGAAATGCCACTGCATTCACACATGCTAAACCTCCACACAAACATATTCCTGCATTCAGATATATGCAGACATTCTACTCGGATAAACCCTATCTTTCTCATTTGCATGTGCTCTTGAAAGATACACCCCTATATTCACATACACAAATCCAGTGTCCTCATAAATACGACCATGCAATGCATGTAGTAGCTGTGAATGGATCTGTGGATTTGACTGCAGATGTGATATTGTATTTATTATTGCTGTGGATAGGTTTATGAGCTTTTTAATGTGGCTGTAAATAGGCTGCAAGTCTGTGTTTCTACAAGTGGGGCTGTAAGAGAGTCTCTGTGTTTTACTGCGTGGTTGAGAGTCCACCTGTGCTTTACTGTGTGATTCTGAATAACGCTGTGTTTTATAGGCTAGCCAAAAGTGTTCAAGTATTTTTATTGAACTGTAAATGTGAGTTTGTTTAATATGAGACTGTCAGAATCTGTTTGTTTTACTATGTGTCTTTTAGTGGATTTGTGTGTGTTTTGTTGGTCTATTGTGAATGGCTATACATGAATTTGATGATTTGTCATTTTTTGACTTTCACAAAGTCACAATTTCTCCATTACCATCAACCACATATCCTCTGTGATATCCTGTCATCCTGTCACATGCCCCCCACATCCAGTCACATTTCACACATATTTACCCTCACATGTAAAGAATATTTTCTTCTCCCACTCCACCTCAGACATTTGTTTTTACCTCACTACTATCCCATCCACATTCTTTTCCACATTCCCACCATAGTTATATTTCCCACCTCCCCAAAAGCCTAAACACTGTCTCTAATAACTCTCATCCTATTCACATTTGCTCCTCCACCTTCTACAGTCATGTGTCCTCTTTATCCTCCGATATATTACTTACATATTTGGCCTTGAAAATGAGAGAAGACAAATTCTGTAAAATAATGTCTTTCATGTAGTCTAGCCTGTGTTAATCAGGATACAGTACAGTAAACTGTGTAAAGGGGTTCTGGAGGAATTGTAACACACAACAAAAAAATGTCTCCAGAACACCAAGATGACATTCATTTCCCATAATTCACACTTTGTTTTAGGTTAGATTTAGTATGAGTGCTTGAGTACTGTAGGGGATAATGTTTAGTGTTAGTATAGCACAGGTATTGCTGTTTAGCAATAGTGTCTCAGACTGAGAGTAGTGGGAATTAAATATATTAAAATTTGAAAGATACCAGAGTTATAACATGAAGCTTAATTGTCAAATTAGGAAATTATGAGTATTGCAGATGTTCAATGGACCTCACCTCCTATATTTACACATTTCATGATAACAGCATTACCCTCAAACCCCTTCCTCCATTTATATTTAGTTCCCCTTAAATAGTATGACAGACCGTTGGGTCCCCTAGGCTAGGTACATGGCCCCCTATACCCTCACCTCCTTTAAAAAAACTATAACACTATGGATTAACCATTCAACCCATATCTCTCAGCATCAGCGGCCCGCCCTGACTACTTAGAACTGCATGTCTTTTGCCACAAAGCGTACATGGTGCGCCTGACCAGGAGCAACCCTAAATCAGCGTGGAACTCTAAAGCGGATCACATAGTCTCTGCGATCCACTAAAACTTTAAATAGAGCACTTATGGTCCCAAGTGCATCTATCTGGGCACTTTTTGAAGGGTTAACAGAGGAGGTGGAAAAGCATCGAATGACACAGACTTTGGGGAGCTCCATATACTCACGGAAAGCACTGTATTTAAGTGACTGAGGAACTCTAGCCAGCACTCGAACTCTGTGCCAGATTGTAGGCTAGCCGCGTCCAACTGAACTTTGTACTTCCATTGAGTTCACACTAGGCACATCCAATCCGGGAGCCTTTTGGACAGACCAGGAGCTCCAGAGAGACCTTTCTGGGAATGCATGGCATTTGGGGGTGTTTGTCATTGTTACCTGTGTTTTTCTGTGTTTAGTGTGTTGCTCTCCCTGTGTCCAAGATATAATCAATTTAACCGAGAGCTAACACAATTATCTCCTAGACACAGAGGCGCCTGGGCGGGTTTGTACTGCAATGAATGAAGACCCCATGCTGGATATAAATCTGTGTGCTTGTCTCAAAACAGTTCTTATCCCTTCACTACATCTCGACTAGTGTTTGGTTGAGACAGTGGTACTTCGTGCAGGAGGGTATAATCACTCTGGAGCTGTATTCACTGGGAAAGGAAGGTGATAACCCATCTTCTTGAAGATATACCACCACAAATACCAATCACAGTCTCTTGATAACTATGTTTAATTTGATTTTCACTTTATAACCTCTGAACTGCACTTGGTCCTGTGTGCCCACCTTATGGCCAAACTCATTTGCGACTGCAGAATTTTCTTACTACCAATTCACAATTCTGGAAACCACATTATTCTTGTTACCTTTTCTACATATTCAAGAAACAACCAGTTTAATTTGATTTCATGAGAAACTAAGAAGCCTTTCATGGATGATTTAAATACTTAATTTTGAAACAGCTCAATGCATTTGGTGAGGAATAGGTTATCATATGTCCATCATGTATCTAGAATTAGTATACATACTAACTGTTTTCACTTACCCAGTTCACAGTTCCTTCCTGTGTATCCTTGCTGACACCAGCAAAGGTAGGCACTAACATCATCTTTGCAAACTCCTCCATTCATACATGGACTTGAAAGACATTGATCTCCGTCTGTGACAAAAAGTGAAAATAAAAACATGAAAACATGCATGCATTTAATTATGCATCTTTTTCATTGGGGATATCTAAAACAGTTTGCAAAAGCAGCAGATCTCTTCTCTACTAAAAAGAAAAAAACAAAAGCTGAACTAGTTTACTTAAAAAAGGCAAATCAAAAGGTGTATGATATGATAACATTATACAAATATATAAAGGGCCAGCAGAAACACCTCTCTGGTAACCTGTAACAGGTGCAATTAGGAATGAACCTCTGGTAACCTGTTCATTAATAGGACCATACAAGGGTCACAAGGTCCCTCTTTTAGACTTAAATAAAGGAAATTTCATCTATGGCAGAGGATGTTATTCGTTACCAAACAACCAATACATATGTGGAATTCTCTGCCTAAAAAAGTTGTTTTAAAAGACACCGTTAACCATTTTTTTTTCCCCAAAGAAAACATCCAGATGTTGAAAATTCAGAGATAACTTGTTGATTCAGGGAAAAATCTGACTGTAATTGTCTAAAAATTTTAAATCACTTAAAATTTAGATTTTTTTTTCTTCTTTTGGATCAACAGCAGCAATACATAATCTGAACTGTTGCATAATCTGAACTACGGATGCACCGAAATGAAAATTCTGGGCCGAAACCGAAAATTCAGGATGCCCTTGGCCGAAAACCGAAACCGAAAATGACTTTTTCCCCAAATGCTTTTAAAATAGTTTTTTCCCTTTATCTAATGATTTATTTGTGCTATTTAGATTCCAATTCACTTTAGATTTCATGAAATGATGATGATTTTCTATTAAATTCATTTAATGCCCGTTAATCTCTGTCCAACTAAAAACATGACAGATACCAGATGTCACTGATGGTATAGGCATCAGTGCACACGGTGAGGAGCACACTGTCTGGCCAGCTGATGGGGGATTGAAGGGGAATACTGATTAATAATAAACCTCCAGGAAGTAGCAAACATAGGTGCCAACAGTTCCGAATTTGCTCAGACAGTCCTGCATTTTGAAGCACTGCCCAGCAAAAAATAGGTCCTAACTCCCATGGATCTGGTAATTTTGAAATCTGTCAGCACTCAGCAGATTTAGAAATGCAGGGTACTAGGACAAAACACTCCATCAGCAGTCTGGGCATATTGGCAGCTACAGGCAGAATATAATAAGTTAATTTATGAGCTCACCGGCCACCGGGCTGTAATTTACCACTGCTCACATGTCACTTCCGAGTACACAGTAGTGCAACTGTGGTGTGTTGTCCTGTAACAGACACGTGACCCGGCTGCAAAATGGCAGCACCCAGGAGCAGAGCACATGACTGACAGCGGCAATGATGATTTGCATCGGTTCCAAGAGGCGGCTTGGGAGCTACCGGTGAGGGAACTGATAGAGTTTTAGGTGTGCAGGGGTTTAAATGTTACAGCACAGTCTGCAGACTGTACTGGCTCTCTCCCTCGCACCCGGCGGCACACAGGGCAAGCTACCGGGCCCCTGCCAATATCGGGTCCTCGGTCATTGACCGAGGACCTGACAAGTCACTATGCCTGATTTTCGGCTGATTTGAGCCATTTTAGGCTGAAAATTTTGGTGCATCCCTGATCTAAACTTTTGTATAATCCCTTTCTTAATAATAATTATATATTAATGCATCATTGAAGGACAACTGTCAGATTTTCATTTCTTGTTTTTTAAAAACTTTATTACATTTAATTAAAAAAAATATATATATATAATATGTACATTGGTTTTTTTTCTATTTTTTTTTTTTTAAACTTTTCACTTTTTATCTGGTTATCTGGATGACTAGCCATGTTGGATCAGACACTACTGTTATCTGACTAACTACTGCCAAAAATAACTTGTCTGCTGCTGTGGTTTCATCAAGAAAACAGAGCAAAGTGAAAAAATTCTCAAAAATTAAAAACAAAAAATGTAAAAATAGCACAACATTTCATTAAATGTAATAAACTTTTAAAAAATTAGAAGTTCAAATTTGATGAAAATTTTTGTTTAAGAAATATATTTAACACTCAACTCAAAAGTCTTTACTTTTAAAGGGACACTCCAGGCCTCATAAGCTATTTAGCTTTCTGAAGTGTGTGAAGACTATGTTACCTTTTTTCAATTTTAAAAAAAAGTGCATATTTCAGTAGAAATTAGATTATGTTTTTGTATGTATTAACCTTTTTACACCCTCTGACTGTCAATCCTGTGGCTTTCTGGTTGTTTAGCTCAGTGGAGAGACATTCAAGAGGCAGCAATTGCTCAGAGCACCTGTCTTGGAAAGACGTCTCATTGAGCTGCACAGAAAGTCTGGATGGGGTTAGAAGGGGAAGGCTTGCAAAGGCTGCAGACAGGAGAACTGCAGGTTTTGAAAGCAGTTTTTAGATATATTCCCAATGAAAAAATGAATAGCTTAATAGATGCTCAGTGATTTTTAATTTCTTGTATTTGGGGAGTGCAGTGTTCCTTTAAATACATGTGTTTATTTGATATACTGGCTACAGGAAGTATTAGGTCCTTTACCAGGTGCATATGTTGTAAAATGTAGTTGATCACCATGTGTGATGACAAGCATAGCCATTGCTAGATAAGGGGTGCTAACCACACAAATATTGTCATTCTCATGTTCTGGGTATATATATTCTGGGAGTTAGACTATGACGTGTGAAGAGGTGAGAGTAAATCCAGTGACATCCATGGTCATAAATATTTAATTGTGGCTGGCTATGTTATGTGTTCACATGGCTTTGCAAATACACTAATGTACATCTACACTTCTGGGCAGCATCTGCAGCAATAAAACGTATTTAGTGATGCCGCAAACCGTTCGCGAACTTCCCGCGAACGGCTCGCCGCGGTTCGCCACGAACCGTTCGCGGCGAACTCCGGTCAGCTGACACATCCCGGCCAATCTCAAGCAGACCCTCCCTCCCAGACCCTCCCACCTCCTGGACAGCATCCATGTTGAAGGCAGCTTCAACATGGATGCTGTCCAGGAGGTGGGAGGGTCTGCTGTCCAGGAGGTGGGAGGGTCTGGGAGGGAGGGTCTGCTGGAGATTGGCCGGGATGTGTCAGCTGACCGGAGTTTGCCACGAGCCGTTCGCGGGAAGTTCGCGAACGGTTCGCGACATCACTACGTATCATAGATGACAAAATATTTGTTAGCGGCATCAAAGAGGAGATTTTAACCAATACTCTAGTACAGCCTGCCATGTTTTAACCAGCGGTAAGGTATTTTAATGTGTTTAATCGAATAGCTCATACAAAGTAAATTTCTTCACAGGTTACTTTTTAGCTCACAGATGAAGCAAAACAACTGGCTGTGATTTTTTTCTTTCGGTTTATACCATTCAGGGGTGAAGATTTAAAGACAATATTTTCTGTTCTTGCCCGCCATCAATGTCTGTTTTGCTTCTTATCTTACAATAGAAAAGAGATCTGCCTAACAAAGCTAATTTCTGATGAAGTATCATACCTCACATGCATCTTATCTATGCTGGCTAAAGGTCACTAATTTAGGCATTTGCAAAATAACTCCTGGCTATCAAAGCATCAAGCATATATACTGGAAAGTATAGTAGGTAGTCTCTATAGCAATAAAAAATAATATCCTTCCATTCATTGTGTATAAAAATAACCCAGGAGCATTAATGTGATACTTGATAATTATTACCTATTTTTAGGACCTTATAAATTGGAAATATTTACAGTGACTGCTGTACATCAGAAAAGATGATGGCTTTGCCAAATTTCAGTTAATTACATGGTCTAAAACACTTTCATTCCTACAGTGATATCTTAATCAAACAACCATTATCTTGTGCAATTCAATTATTAGCGAAACCTTTTTACATGTAAAGTGTGTGTTTGAAGCATTTGTGTTTCTATCAAAATGATTTATTACATAAATTGTGCTTTTTGAGAACAAAGCAGAGAGGCTTTGTTCTCACATAAAATAAGATCTTTGTATTAGTTTCTCTGCTGGATATATGTATATGTGCAGAACAGCAATATCTATATCTTTCCTAACTATAGGCAATGGATTTTCCTTTGTGCATATAAATGTACCCAAAACTCATTTCAATGCTCCACATGATCCAATAAATCCTTACTATTTAATGGGGGATTTGAGATACAGGTGTCTGATGAATGTTTTGCTCTTTACTGCATATGCATAAAAGTATATTAAATAATCTTGCAAAATATTAAAGTTGAAATGTATCCAGCAATAAAAGGTTATTGTGTTCTAAATATTGTTCTGTCTGAAAACTCTTTAAGAGATAATGATGGCATTATCTACCTCACAAGTTTTGAGACAGGTTTGTATTATTCTGATTATATATTCATTGCAAAATAAAAAGAAAACCACAAGCTGTACTGGGACTTATTAGATGAATACAGTTAGCTTAAATTATCTGGATAAGTTCTGAAATGGTTCCATCTGAATCAGCCCGAGTGACCCCTAAAACAGCTCCAGATAGTTTAAGAACTGCTCAGGGATGCATTCATAAATAGATCCTGAACTACTTCCTAATTGTAATTAAATGTATAAAAGAAAAGAAACAGTCATCTGGATCTCCCATTACCCAGTAGCAACCCAGCTATATGGTAAAACATTGATGTAAAATAGATTAACGAATGTGATATGTCATCCCATTCACAAGGGTTGCCCCATCTCTGAGTAAAATAATAAAAAAATAAATTTAAAAAATTTGCAAAAAAAGGAGGAATGTTCCAGTCGTGATTCAGATTTTTAAAATCATCCAATGAGATGTAACCCTCGTGCTGGACTTTTCCGCACAAACATGGGTAATCCTCAAATACGTCACAGAGAAAAATGAAAAAAGTGCACTTTTGTTAGTAGAAAAATATATGTAGACTATAAGTACATGGCATTAAACTGTCATGGCAGCCATCATAATTACTGCAGGTTGTACAGGTATGACATATCATATAAACTACATGGTGTGTTGAAGTGGCATAGATTTTCAAGTATATTTTTGTTTATCTTTTGGGACTTACCAGTTACATGGCAACCTTTTATTAAACGTTACATTCACTTCAGTGATTTGAAGTTGTTATGGTACACGGAGCCTGTATGTGCAGCGTTTCACTTTGAAACACTGGATTTTGCCAAGGCATTTGATACGGTTCCTCACAATAGGTTAGTCTTCTAACTAAAAGAAATTGGTCTAGATGATTATTCTTGTTCTTGGGTATAACATTGGCTTAAGGATAGAGTACAACGAGTTGTCATTAATAGTACATTTTCAGGCTGGACAAAAGTGGTAAATGGTGTCCCTCAGGGTTCTGTTTTGGGACCGCTTCTATTTAACATATTTATAAATGATCTTGAAATAGGCATTGAAAGCCATATTTCAGTGTTTGCAGATGACACAAAACTTTGTAAAGTAATACAATGTGAGCAGGATATTGCTTTGCTGCAGAATGATTTGGATAGATTGGGGGACAGGGCACTAAAACAGCAGATGAAATTTAACGTAGAGAAATGAAAAGTTATGCACCTCGGGGTCAAGAATTCACAAGCAACTTACACCTTAAATGGTAGTGAATTAGGGATAACCACACACGAGAAGGATTTGGGAATTGTTATAGACAACAAATTAGGCAGCAATATACAATGTCAATCTGCAGTTGCTAAGGCCAGTAAGGTTTTGTCATGTATAAATAGGGGCATAAATTCTCAGGATGAAAATATAATTTTGCCTTTTTAAAAATCACTGGTAAGACCACACCTTGAATATGCTGTGCAATTTTGGACACCTGTTCTAAAGAAGGATATCAAGGCACTAGAAATAGTGCAGAGACGAGCTACAAAAGTGATAAAAGGAATGGAGCATTTTAGTTATGAAGAAAGGTTAAAAAATTTTAATCTCTTTAGTTTGGAAAAACGGCACCTCAGAGGGGATATGATAACATTATACAAATATATTCGTGGCCTGTACAAACCATTATCTGGAAATCTATTCATAAACAGGGCTATACATAGGACACAAGGTCACACATTTTGGCTGGAAGAAAGGCGATTTAATCCAAGACAAAGAAAAGGTTTTTTTACAGTAAGAGCAATAAGGATATGGAATTCTCTGCCTGAAGAGGTGGTTTTATCAGCGTCCATCAGATGTTTAAACTGCAATTGGATAAATACTTGCAAAAACATAACATACAGGGATATCATTTCTAATTACCGTAGTGGGGTAATAGCTGCTTGATCCAAGGAGACATCTGACTGCTATTTTGGGGTCAAGAAGGAATTTTTTCCTAGTTTGTTGCAAAATTGGAAGTGCTTCAGACTTGTTTATTTTGCCTTCTTTTGGATCAACAGCAAAAACATATGTGAGGAAGGCTGAACTTGATGGACGCAAGTCTCTTTTCAGCTATGTAACTATGTTAACACATAAGGAGTTTAACCCCTCTGCTGCCAGATGTGTAACCCTATCTCTGGCTGCACCATTGGGACTGGCTAATGTCAATTCTGTAAATATATTCATTGAGAGTGTGCCATTTATTGACTGGAATCAGACTTTCTCAGTCAGTGGATGACAACTGGACTTACTTCCATCTTCTGCAGCCTATGTAAATAGACAAATAATTCCTAATTGCTGGCCCTGTTACTGGGGAACCAAGCCAGGATACTCCTGGTATCATAATCATGACAGTGTGTAGTGGTTATGGTGCTGTGTGTTTAAGTCACACTATAGGTGGCACTGTGGGGGTTTAATCAAAAAGTATCAAGAAGGCCATTACCCTGTGCCTTGTGGGATGCTCTCCATCACCTGAAAGTCATGACTAAGAGAAAGTGCTTTGGTAAAAGCCAGTTTGACAATTGTATGAGTTTTATTGGTTATTAAAAATATACACTACGTTTATGTTTTTTATTTCCAGAATAAAGAGGTATATGAATATTTAATGATATTCAATATTGATATTTCATTAACCAAAACTATTTAAAATGTGGCAGCTAAATTTCTAAAGGAAGCATCTCTAATCCAGTTAAAGAAATTTACCAGTAAAATATATTTGCAAAATCTAATAACGTCAGTTGGACTTAATGGCTTAGGGAATGAATTTGAGAAAAGAGGGGGAAACTAAATAAAAATAAAAAATGCTCATTCAGTGAAAGCATACCTTGGCATTGTGTAAATTTGGCCTTTAAATTAATTTTAATAAATGCCCAAAGCATCCTTGGATTTTCGCCTGAACAACTCTACATCTCTGGTCTACTTCGGCAAAATTGAATTAGTGAAAATTAATTTAAATATTATGTGTAGAATGTTTCTGCTTGTTATTATTGGTTGTGGGTTGACTGTTAGCATACAATAAGTAACAGCATATAATTTATCCCTTCTCCTATACTGAGAATGTGAACCATTTTATCTCACAATAGCAGCTGGATGCTTATTTCATATAAAGACACATTTTAATTATCATCCTAAGCATGGTTAAACCATTTTACATAAAATAACAATATAGTGAGTACAACTGTCTGTTATAAAACATTTTCATTAGCACTACATGCAGGAATAACGACAATCTTCTCAAAATATTGCGTTTAATATAAAGCTCTTACCAATATACTGCTTCCAAAATTCCAACTGAAAAATATTAAATGAATAAAACATCATATCAGTAAAAGTATGAATGCAGATATTACATGAAGTATGCATAAAATAAAATATTGGTATGATTTTGGATAAATAAGTATTGTTTCGTTTTTGCTATTTTCATTAATTTTTATTCATTTGAACTCAGCATCTTTTCATGAATATGGTGTAATTAAACAGACATGCTTCACGTGGCTTTTTCTTTTAAAACAACACACTTTTAAAAAATATACAAACCAAAATAAAGATTGAAAAACTTTGAAAAGTATATAAGAAATGTTTGTAAACTTATAAACATACTTAGTTGCATTGTTGGGCACGCCTCTGGTATATGGTAGTTTCTCTTACCACCCACTAAACCAGTCTAGGTGACTAGGAAACACCATATTCTCAATTCACTGACTAACCCATCAGGAAGAGAGAAACCTGACACAAGTGCCTGCTCTACATGAATCACACTGATCAGACTTCCACTCTTCTCCCCCTCTCAGGATGTTGAAATGTACACTTTTACAGCATTCCTAGGGATAGGACACTGATTGGTTAGATCAGTGTCCCTGTTGGTGTGGGTGTGGAAAGTATAAGTAAGAACATGTGGGTAAATATGAAGAAACAATGCTACCTTTTTAATCCTGCAAAGTGTAACTGTCTCATCCAAAGCTAAAACGTTTGAACGAGACATTTTCTCAAAGTGATGAATGTCCATTTAATTCCAACATTTTTAACTGTTAATCTATTAATCAAATTAACAATGAGTATTATAGAAAAGGTTAAGAAAAAACAATCTAGTATTATATAAATGTTTCTTATTAAGGGTCCCTACACACAATTTGTATAGTCCACATTTTCCTGGTGCTGTGTGTATATTACATTATACACAAATAGACCCCTGCATTCAAACACCAGCACTACAAAAATAAAATAAATAAATAAACCAGTGCATTCAAACACTAGACAAAAACATACCACTGCATTCTAATGCCAGTACTGCAAACATGCAAACACACCATTACATTCAGTGTACATGTGTATCTGGGTATCTGTATGTGTGCCAATGCAAACATCGCAGCATTGAAACGCCCACAAACACACAATAAAATTCAAACACCAATACTACATGCAAAAACATCATACCAATACTACACACAAATACACCTCTTCATTCACACACTCCATACAAAAACAACCCTGCATGTATGGACAAATGATAGATTCCCAGCTGTCATTGGGGGAACTGTACAACAATTGAAAATCTACATTTTGATTAACCTTACACTAATGGGGGCCAAAAACATATTTTCCACAAATTTTCTAGAAATAAAACTTTTAATTCTTACAATATTAATTGTTGTAAAACAAAACATGCCAACAAGAAAAAAATGAAATGACCCTTGTTTAAAAGTCTTCATTCCCTTAGTTCTTAATACTGTGTATTGCCCCCTTTAGCATCAATGACAGTATGCAATCTTTTGTAATAGTTGTCTATGAGGCCCCTCATTCTTGCAGGTGGTATAACTGCCCATTCATCTTGTCAAAATGCCTCCAGGTCATGCAAAGTCTTTGGCCGTCTTGCATGAATGATATTAAGGTCAGGAGAACATAGCGCTTATGGTTGTGCTCATAAAGCTCTATTTTGGTCTCGTCACTCCAAATGACAGTGTGCCAGAAGCTGTGAGGTGTTTTAAGGTGTTGTCATGCATATTGTAACTGTTTTTTTTTTTTTTTGTGGCATTGGTGCAGTAAAGGCTTCTTTCTAGCAACTCGACCATGCAGCTAATTTTTGTTCGAGTATCATTGTATTGTACTCCTTAAAACAATTACTCCGTCTTTTTCCAGAGCAGCCTGTATTTTTTTGGTTACCTGTGAGTTTTTCTTTGTATCCTGAACAATTCTTCTGGCAATTGTGGCTGAATATTTCTTGGTCTAGCTGTCTTTGGCTTGGTATCAAGAGATCCCCGAATTTTCCACTTCTTAAAGGACCACTATAGTGCCAGGAAAACATACTCGTTTTCCTGGCACTATAGTGCCCTGAGGGTGCCCCCACCCTCAGGGTCCCCCTCCCGCCCGGCTCTGGAAAGGGGAAAGGGGTTAAAACTTACCTTTTTCCAGCGCTGGGCGGAGAGCTCTCCTCCTCCTCTCCGCCTCCGTTACCCCCGCCGGCTGAATGCGCACGCGCGGCAAGAGCTGCGCGCGCATTCAGCCCGTCGCATAGGAAAGCATTTACAATGCTTTCCTATGGACGCTTGCGTGCTCTCACTGTGAAAATCACAGTGAGAAGCACGCAAGCGCCTCTAGTGGCTGTCAATGAGACAGCCACTAGAGGATTAGGGGGAAGGCTTAACCCATTCATAATTATAGCAGTTTCTCTGAAACTGCTATAATTATGAAAAAATGGGTTAACCCTAGAAGGACCTGGCACCCAGACCACTTCATTAAGCTGAAGTGGTCTGGGTGCCTAGAGTGGTCCTTTAAGTGATTGAACAGTACGGACAGGCATTTTCAAGGCTTTTGATATCTTTTTATATCCTTTTCCATCTTAATAAAGTTCCATTACCTTGTTACTCAGGTCTTTTGTCAGTTCTTGTCTGGTCCCCATGGCTCAGTATCTAGCCTGCTCAGTGCATCTATGTGAGTGCTAACAAACTTATTGACTATTTATACACAGACACTAATTGCAATTTAAAAAGCCACAGGTGTGGGAAATTAACCTTTAATTGCCATTTAAAAAAAATAAAAAATCTTAATTTGTGCTGTGCATGGTAGAACAAACAGGCTTGCGATGCCACAACAGCTATTGCAAGCAATCATAGGTCAATGCAAAACAATTGCAGGGCATTTCGACAGTTCTGCACATTTTTTATTTTTTAATACTAAAACGTAGAGAGGCTCGCTATACATATCTAGACGTTAAGTGGGACTTTAGCTCTTCCACAGGGAAAGGTATATATAGAATAGTATATTAAAGTCAAGGTTATGAAGCCAGTGCAATGCTTAATAACTAAGGCAGAGTGACTAGTTCAAGTTAGATTAATTCCCTAGGAGGCTCCCATGGCAGTGGGACAATAACAGTAGTAAGTGGTACACAAGGCAAAAGCACAGAAACTTATGGAGGACAATAGAGATAAAACAAAACAAGTCCCCTCTGTTCTTCAGGCTTACCGCATACTTATAGCCTTGTGCCACCACACATCCTGTCTGTGTCCTCTTGTGCAGGAGTGATAGGATCTGCCACCATAATAGGCCATTCCCAGCTGCCAGAGCCACGGTCTTTCGTAGGGAGTGCAGTGGTTCTCTTAAAAAGGCTGGTTCATTTGTTTGCTGTAGAGCAGGTTAGTGTATGCTGCAAATATCTTGTCCAACTTGGTCAGGACATCATATATGTAGCAAAAAAGGGGATGATCTGCTAAATGAATAACAAGAAAAATGCATAGCGCATAACTGTGTGTATGAAATGAACCAAATGTATAAATGACAAGTGGCCACTCACACTTTCGTTGAAGTAAGAATGCCTTGAAAATAAATTTCTTTTTCAGCATAAATTATTTTCCAGGAAAATTTCTTCCACCACTTTTAAACTCTCATGGGGCAATTAAGAGGTGTGTGCTCAAAAAGAAAAAATATATAGAACTGTAGTACACATTTAAAAATGTAGAAAAAATAATTTAATCACTTACATCTAAATATAAAACAATGGATGTATTCTCACTGTCACCACCAGGGGTCCTACGCGTATAAATAAAAATAAACAATAAAAATAAAATAATGAATAATAATAACATTAAAAAATATATATAAAAAATATATATAAAAAAATATATATTTTTTATATATATTTTTTTATATATATTTTTTAATGTTATTATTCATTATTTTATTTTTATTGTTTATTTTTATTTATATTTTTATATTTTTTTCCTTAATTATTATTTAATTTATTTAACCTTTAATTTATTTTATATATTTATACAGTTTGTATAAGTTTTATTAGAATTGAGTTTGGTGTATTATGAGTAACTTCCATGTAATTAGAATTCTGTAGTGCCATTTGAAGTGTGTAACCTTCCCCCACTCTCTTTTTTTCTGCCTCCGGTCCATATATACTGAATTTATGCCTCTTGAAAGAGACTCTGTAAAAGAAAAAGATGTGTGACTTGTGAATTGAGGATTTTGAGTACTTCCGGGTTTCGGCGGTGGAACGCATGGTGGAACGCATGCGAGATGGACGGGCGCATAGGATGACGTCATAGAAACCGGCCGCCGGACCGAAAACACCTGGATCGAATAAAGAGTTTTGTGAACATTTTGAGGGGTATAAAGGGTGGAGGAGGGAAGGGTTTTTTATATTGTTCATTTGTATGCGGTCATTTCTGGTCACTGAAGTCCCTGAGGAAGTCCTACATACGGACGAAACGCGTAGGACCCCTGGTGGTGACAGTGAGAATACATCCATTGTTTTATATTTAGATGTAAGTGATTAAATTATTTTTTCTACATTTTTAAATGTGTACTACAGTTCTATATATTTTTTCTTTTTGAGCACACACCTCTTAATTGCCCCATGAGAGTTTAAAAGTGGTGGAAGAACTTTTCCTGGAAAATAATTTATGCTGAAAAGGAAATTTATTTTCAAGGCATTCTTACTTCAACGAAAGTGTGAGTGGCCACTTGTCATTTATACATTTTGTTCATTTCATACACACAGTTATGCGCTATGCATTTTTCTTGTTATTCATTTAGCAGATCCGTCTCTCCCACCCGATGCGCACCAAACCGCATTGTCCAGCAGGGGACAAGTATGTACCCACCGGGTCGCTGACTATAACACTGCATGGCCCTGTCGCGAGGACCGGGTAACTCGCAAATGTCTTTCACAATTGCGCTGCATAAGGCTGCAATAGGCTTAAGTGGTCAGGATGGTGTGGGAGCTTGTGCAAAGCACAACTCTCCACCATGATAGTCAGGCCCCGCCCTCTTAATTGCCATTTTAACCTGTCTGTGTCACCTTGTGTGTCTGTAACAATGCCAAACATTCAAGGGTATTTAAAAAAGATCAGGGCCATTTGGGTGATTTCTGTTATCAATATGTGATAATATATGGCTTCATATGATCACTATCATTCAATAAAATAATTTTTTTGCATGATCAGTCATATTTTCAAAATCAATGCCAATATCTCACCATTTCTGCCAGTGTTTGCAAATTTATGAGCACAACTGTATACACCCATGGTACTAGATGTATATGGGGGGAAAAAAAGGAAATACTCTAAAGTGCTATCACCAAACATACAAAACCAATCAAATGGGTGATGGCATGGCATCCCTAAACATTTTCTGTAAACAAAATCATGTAAAATATAATATTTTAGTATTTACCATTTAAAAAATATTGGCTATGCATATAACAAATGTAAGAGTAAAAAAAAATACAGCTAGACAAACAAAACTAAATCAGATAAATCTTTATTAGATTTCATGTAAGAGTGCTAATAAGATACAGCTTATAGCAGTTTAGAGCTAAAGGCCTGATACACTAAAAAATGAAGAAAAACTACGGCAATTAACATCCAAATTGATACATCCTTTTAAAATAAAGACAAGCAAATAAATCACTTGTTCTTTCAATCAATACTGCATGCTCAAAAAATCACAAATTCAATGGCCCAAGTAAACACATTTAAATAGTTTACAGTATGAAAAGATATCTAAACTATTATAGTGTATGCTGTTGCAATTAATACAAAGCATATAATGTATGCTCAATTATCATGGCATGTTGCATTCTCCATAAAATGGGGTCGCCATGCTTGATTAACTCCACAAAATTCATGTCCCTGCATGTCTAGATGTATGGAACGTGAGAGGTCCGAAGACCTGTAATGTAGACAATAAGGGATACTACACATACTCTGGAGCTCCTGACGAACCGCACTAACATTTGGCAATTCTAACTGTTGAACCTATTACCAGAGATCCAGAACGGAGACTGATACCAACAGTTTACGAAGCTCACCACATCTGGACTGGAGCGCCCTGCTGAGCAGACACCTGTTCCTTCCTTGAGGCCTATTGAGATGGTTATAGCGGCAGAAGGGAGAAGCGGCACATGCACCTCGTAGCCTACCTCTTTCAGTCCCATCACTCCCCTCTCTGTACCGGCGTGGGTTATCCTTTTTCCCACTGGTTCAGCTTAAAACTGCTATAGCGGCCTACTCCCCTGTCACTTTGGAAGCCAATTGGCAAGACCAAAATGGCCGCCGCATTGGACCCTCTGAAATGCCGAGAGAGACCAGAGGGCCAGAAATGGAGAGACATCTTTAATGCAAAATCAAATCAAACTGAATCTGCCAGAGATTCTGGCAACCGACTCGCCTGCCGAGTCAGCGCACTTACCCCTTCTGATACACAGCCGATCCAAGATGCAGCTTCAGATACTAGTGCCGCACATGGATTGGGTGCCCACTCAGAGCCATCTCCTCACTGCCATCTGTGTACCCAGAGGGAAGCCCAGAACCTAGAAACCCTAAAGGGGCCTGCAATTCTGACATACAATCTTGAAGGAACCACAGACACTGGGCAATAGCTCCCATTAAGATCTGGGGCCAGGGTAATATTGAGCTGAAGCAGTGTAGCTCACGGATGATCACTCTGCAAAGCCTACACCATGTATGTCAAACTCGCGGCCCACAATGGATATCTTTGCGGCCCGGTGAGCTGCAAGTGCATGCTTAGTGTTAAAGCAGAGTAGGCACCTGCTTTCTCCACATTGTAGGTGCCTACTCTTCTAACAGTTACCCGGCCAGGAGGAGAGGTTCCTGGCGGCAGCGAGGGAGCTCAGCCTTACGGCTCCTCACTGCTCCCTCGTGCGTGCCGTCTGTAGTGATACCGGCAAGGGACCAGTGAAGAGCAGGAAGGCTGAGCTCCAGATAGAAGAGGGCACACACCAGCTCCCAAAGATAAGGAGCAATAAATAAAATGATGTGAGTGCAAGAATGTGTAAATGGGTGTGTGTGTGTGTGTCTGTCAGTGTGTGTGTTGGTCAGTGTCTGTGTGTGTGTTTGTCAGTGAGTGTGTGTCTGTATGTGTGTGTCTGTCAGTGAGTGAGTGTGTGTGTGTCTGTCAGGGAGTATGTGTTGGTCAGTGTTGCATTGGCTGCGACTGGACAGTGGAGAACCTGGAGTTGCATGGAGGCACGCAATGCCATTTCACATTCCGACATTACATCGACATGCTCCACCTTCACAGGGTTTCAAAAAATAGAGGGAGGATCAGATTTGGCACTGGGTGTGGATGGCGCCATTTGCGGTGTACCAGAGGCCGGATTCCGAAGTCACATACTGGCAGCAGCAATGTGAGTGGAGTCTGTTTGTTGGCAAGAGGGGGTTACTGGGATTTAGTATATGGGGGGGATGGGACTGGGATTTAGTAAAGGGGGATCTGCGGTTTAGTAGAGGGGGGTGCTGCGGTTTTTTTATACTGTACTTTTCAAAATAAACATACGTTTCTATGAAAATTTAATTTATTTATTTGTTTTTTATTTGCGGCCCACATAAACTTAAACCTTGTTTATGTGGCCCATGCTAAACTTTGAGTTTGATATGCTTGGCCTACACAGGGAAAGGGGGAATAATGCTAGCAGAAATGTGGACTCTCTGACATGGCCTGCCTGCGGAGTGGGCTGAACAAGACTGGCAACGGCATTTCACATTTATGTCACTTTCTAAGTATACCTTGCAAACATGAGCATTCATATTTTAACTCTTTTAATTACCATTTCATACCCAGTGGTTTCTGTGTTTTAGTGTATTAGGCACAGACACAGCTTGTTAATAACTTGGAAATGTAACCCATAACTGACACACTCTTAGGTAGCTTGTATTACAAATAGTAGATTCCAGTTACTATTAGTTGCTCTGATTAGGAGATAGTCTATGCTTTTACACTGTTTTAAATGCTTACTTTCTACTCTAGACCCATAAAAATGTGAAAAAATTAGCTTTTAATTCAAATATCACGTCTGTGTTTAGCTATGTTTGATTATACTTGCTACTGCTGTCGTGGCACTGCATGTTACTATATGCACAGCAAATCTAAAAAATTATAATTATGTAAATTTACACAATTTTTATTTTTCAATTATTCATTTAGCCTTTACACAAATATTTGTGAAATGAAAGACTTTAGACAGCATACAATTTCCTTTATTTTGCGATAATTCACGCAGTGAATGTAACGGTAATATAAAAGCAAAAATTCAATTTTTCACGTATAGTAGATGTGGCAAAAATGGATAAATAAAAAGAGCCAAATATCTTGTTTATATGTATTTGTAAGAACTCTCTGAAGGCATTATTAGCAATGTAGCTTACTAAAATTGGCAACGGGGTGTAAAAAAAATGTTTGCCCACATAAAGCAAATACTGTAAAATCATATATTTCTAAAATAAAGGTTTTTAAAACTGTTATAGCAGTCTGTATCAATCTATCTGCTAATGTAATGTTAACAGTGAAATGACTGTAGGAATGATATGACCAATTGAAATCTCCCTTACTGTTTGAAAGTAGGATGTGAACTTATATTTTTAGCAAATTGACATGTACTATATCAGTGATTAGTGACTTCTGGCAGAAAAATGTGTTCATCTACAGGATGGTAAGCATAACTAGAGTATAAATGAGGGTGAGGGAGGTTTTATGGATTTGATTTATTTCTGCAAAATGCATGCAAATAAAAAATTTTTTAATTGATTTAGGTAGTGAAGTGGTTAAGTGTGAAATATTTTTTTTTTTGTGTATTTCACAATTTTCCTTTTGCAAGGACCAAGGATTTAAACAAATCTCTCTGAATTATCTGATCCAGGAAATGTAAACAATGAGATTAAATCACAATTTGACCTTAAAGGAGCACTATAGTGCCAGGAAAACAAACTTGTAGGGTCATTAGGTCCCCCCCACCCTCAGGGACCCCCTCCTGTTGGGCTGAAGGGGTTAAAACCCCTTCAGCCACTTACCTTTCTCCAGCGCCGGGCTCCCTTGGCGCTAGTGACCTCTCCTCCCTCTGCTGATGTTACTCAATGCTTTCTTATGGACGTCCAGCGTCTTCGCACTGTGATTTTCAAAGTGAGAATTGCGGAAGCGCCTCTAGCGGCTGTCAGTGAGACAGCCACTAGAGGCTGGAATTACCCTCATTGAAACATAGCAGTTTCTCTCAAACTGCTATGTTTTCAGCTGCAGGGCTAAAACTAGAGGGACCTGGCACCCAGACCACTTCATTGAGTGGAAGTGGTCTGGGTGCCTATAGTGGTCCTGTAACAGTAATTATGTTTTTTTGTATTATGGCTGACTTGGAGTCAAGTAATAAAAAAAAAAAAATAGTTGTAATATATGTCAGATCAACTCCATTGTTTTTACACCCTTCCCTGTCACGGGTGGTGTATTCCAAGGTCCTATTTAACCTGGCACTGCCGAGAACCCTGGGAAATAGATTCCCCAAGTAAGTGGATAATCTCATAAGAAAAGGCTTTGGATTGCATGAGTAGGAACTGCCAAAAATGGTTGTAGACCAGCATTGCAGCAATTTATATTTTTACAGTGCAAATATATTTTGTGCTAAGCAAATAACAAGAATAAACATACAAATAAAGATAAAATTACTCACTGTTTTTTCATCATTTTCAAAAACTTCTCGTGCTTCCTCGTACGTGCACTGTTCTTCAATACATTCTCGTTCAAGATTTCCTGATATGAACTCTTCCAAACGGCCTGTATTATATCTCTTATGTCTCAGCAAAATATTGCTTGCAGATTTTTCAGACAAAAACACTGTCATTTAAAAGATACTTATTTAATGCGCATCATATTTAGAGTGATTACAAAACTATTACAATGAAATGGGAAAAAATGCATAACTATATAAATATATTTATATATTTATATTTTATGTGTGGTAATCTTTGCTGTGTAATCATAATCCTGGGAAAATCTAAAGATGTGTACTACTGTTTTGTTACCATGGATTGTCTTCTTTGCTCTCAGTGGTTGAGGTATGTTTATAATAGAATTGGAGCTTAAAGGACCACTCTAGGCACCCAGACCACGTCAGCTTAATGAAGTGGTCTGGGTGCAAGGTCCCTCTAGGATTACCCTTTTTTTTTTTTTTATAAACATAGCAGTTTCAGAGAAACTGCTATGTTTATAATAGGGTTAATTCAGCCTCCAAATCCTCTAGTGGCTGTCTCATTGACAGCCGCTAGAGGCGCTTGCATGATTCTCACTGTGAAAATCAAATGCTTTCCTATGAGACCGGCTGAATGCGCGCGCAGCTCTTGCCGCACGTGCGCATTCAGCCGAAAGGGAGGATCGGAGGCGGAGAGCTCCCCACCCGGCGCTGGAAAAAAAGGTAAGTTTTAACCCTTTCCTCTCCCCAGAGCCGGGCGGGTGGGGCACCCTCATGGCACTATAGTGCCAGGAAAACGAGTATGTTTTCCTGGCACTATAGTGGTCCTTTAATTCCGATCAAGTGTTCTGCCAAAATTCTGAAAAAAAAAGTTAATTTGCCTACCTACACTACATTGTCACTCACACAGACTTTGACTGCCAGCCTGCTTCAGTCACTCTAGTGTGAAACTGGTGGCTATGGTTAGTGCAGTGTTCTACTGCTAGACTGCCACTAAGCACCAACTTGGAATCATTAATTTATAGTCTGACAGGATTTTTTTGTTAAGTGCTTTAGGTAGTAGGCAAATTTTGGCTATGGATTGAGGATGTGGAAGCCTGTGTAGCGCACACCAGAGCACCTTGAATCTCTATTACATCTGCATAATCTTAACATCTCTTTCCTGAGACACATTATAAGGCTTACATCAGGGATTACTATATCTTCTAAGTGGGAATATTGTACTCCTGTAATCTAGAATATATTTCCAATTAGTCTTTTTTTACTGCAGTATATACAGTAGCAATTAGACTAAATTGTTACATTTGCAAAGATGATGTATTTTCCTTGATCTCTAGGACCATAGGATTTTAACTTTCCTTTTTCTGGGAGGGGGAACTGAGACACATGGAGGGGGGATCTGAGTCATATGGAGGGGTGGGGGGGAATGAAGACACATGAATGGGAGCAGGTATGAGACACATGGAGGTGAAGGGTGAACTGAGACACATGAAGGGGAGAGGGAAACTGAGACTGTTACGATTGCCCCCGGTCTAGCAGGGGGGTTGATCGCTTGGATGTCCTGGTTCCTGTGGTCAGAGAGTCGAATGTAGTTCCCTTTGGTGGAATCTGCAAGTGTAGAATATCCCCCGAGAGTGTAAGAGCATCAATATTCCCAGATCCCTACAACACGAGTCGAGGCTGCGAGTTGAGGGTCAAAACGAACTAACTTTACTGGCACACAAACATGGCAATTTATGCAATTCCTCAGGCCCAAGGACAGCCCCCTATGGACCTGATGGAATACAGGTACAGTACAAACAGGTAACCAATCACAATACAATGTATCATTTGAATTAGTACCCGCCCAGCTTGGAGATAATGAGGCCAACAGTTATACAATCTCCAAGCGCCCAAAAGACCACATTTTATTAGGTCCCATAAAACCGTATAAAAATACATAACTTCAACATTTTGAGGAGAAAACGGTTCATTCTACCATTCATTCGATAGCTCGGGTTCGGGCACATTAAATATACGAATTGCGCCCAGACCCCTCGAACGGAATGGGCAATTTCTGCCGTACAAAGTCTGGTTCGGCACTTTGGTCATTAGTCCCTGATGGCGGCCATGTTTTTAGGCGGTTCAATGGGCAGCGGGACCTAGACTCAAACTTATGGAACGGAAATCGGATACATAGTCATACGAATCCCCACTATCAGTCTGGTTGTTGAGACCGTTCGGCATACGAACTGAGACCGCCCGGTAGTACGGTACTTGATCTGCGGTTAACCGCAGAACCACATTCTAATTGCTGCCACACGCCCCACTGTAGGGGGTCTCCGTTCATGAGTCTCTCGGCAGTTTCCATTCGGTAACTTGTATACGAATGTGGATCCTCCGGGCCCGCCAATTAGTTTGTGGTTAACCGCAGACACACTCCGCTCGTCGGGTGGTCGGTCATTCGGTACTTCGAGAGGTGATGAGGTTAAGTGGCGGCACACGCCAAAGTCTGGGGGGTCTCTCGTTCGTACCACGAATTGTCCTTTGTAATGATTCGTGTAATCCATTCATATCCTCTCCGTACCGATAGCGTAGGGGTCTGTATGCAAGGTGTTGGGGTGCAACAGTAACGAGATGTGGTAACAATAATAAAGTCATATCAAGTCTTTGTAACAGAGACAATGAGGGGAGGGGGAATGAAGACACATGGAGGGGAGCAGAGATAAGGCACATGGATGGGAGGGGGGACTGAGACACACGGAGGAGAGGGTGGATTGTGACACATGGTGGGACTTGGGGGAGGAGAGACACATTGGAAATAGTATAGAATAGAGACTTCTCTATGAGAAGCCTCTGATTGGATAATACTGTGTGAAGTGACTAAATGTCACTTCCTGTGAAAAAGGGGGAGCTTACAAAGGCTGCAGTCATGAGAACTGCAGCTTTTGCAAGCTGTTTCTAGACTATATCTCCAATGACTACTTATATAAAAATATGTATGCATGTATTCATTTGGAGTATATTTACTAAACTTTTTTTCAGTTTTTTTTTTCAAGTGTGGAGGGGTCCTTTAACCCATCAAATATTACTCATCTTGTTTCTAGAGACAGAACTCTTGTGCTGCACCTTGCTGCTATACCTTTGGTGATGTCAGCAAGCATGCTGACATCCCTTGCGACTTCATCCAATCCATTGCTTCTTAGAGTAGTTAAAGTCCTACTGAGAGTGTATGCAAGGTGTCAAAAAGATTGTGGTGAGCAGTGGTGGAACTACTGCTGGTGCAGCCGGTACAGCTGCACCAGGGCTCCCATGCAAACCTGGGCCCAGTTAAGCACCATGGCCCTTTAATATTGGCACTGCAGGGAGTGAGTGCAAGTCACTTCCTCCAAGCTCCATAAAGAGCATCTGCAGGAGGGAGAGAAAAGGAGGCAGCACAGGCAGGGAGGGGGAGAACAAGGAAAGACCAAGCTCCAGCCATCCCCACACTCCCATCGGCCTCAACCACCAGTAGGTCCCCAATAAAGCCACCTTCTTGCACACTAAATGTATCTTAAAAGATAAGTGCCTAAAAATATAAGAATTATGATGTGTGTGTATTTTTGTGTGAATTTGTCAGTGTGTGTATCAATGTGTGTGTGTCAATGTGTATGTATACCTGTGTAAAAAAGTATGTATGTATTTATGTATGTGTCAATGTGTATGTTTATCTGTGCAAGGATGAGATGTATGTGGCAGTGTATGTATATGTGCATAGATCCCAGCAATCAAACTCTAACACTACATGCAGACCCATCTCTGTATTCAAACACAAATATTATATAGAAGTACATCACTGCATTCCAACATTATGTAAAAATACACTCCTACATGCACACACGCGCACACACACACATACCCCATACAAAAACAAGATTCCATTAAAACGCACAAAGGTCACAAATACATGAGGAGACATGGGGACACAGACATTTGGGTTACTGGGAGAAATGGGGACAAAGACACTAGGGTCACAGAAACATGGGGACACAGACATTGGGAGACATGAGGATACTGAGACATTTGTGGACACTAAGACACTAGGCACACTGAGAGACATGGAAACACAGACACTGGGAGACTAGGGGACAATGGGAGACATGGAGACACAGACACATGGGGGCACTTGTGGAAATAGACATGGGGACACTGGGACATTTGGGAACACTGAGACCTGGGGACACAGACATAGAAACCTAGAATGTGATGGCAGAAAAGAACCTTTCGGCCCATCTAGTCTTCCCAATTTTTTTAAAATACTTTCATTAGTTCCTGGCCTTATCTTATAGTTAGGATAGCCTTCTTCTTAAACTCCTTTACTGTGTTAACCTCTACCAGTTCAGCTGGAAGGCTATTCCATGCATCCACTACCCTTTCAGTAAAGTAATACTTCTGGATATTATTTTTAAACATTTGCCCCTCTAATTTAAGATTATGTCCTCTGGTTGTGGTAGGTTTTCTTCTTTTAAATATAATCTCCTCCTTTACTGTGTTGATTCCCTTTATGTATTTAAATGTTTCTATCATATACCCCCTGTCTCGTCTTTCCTCCAAGCTATACATGTTAAGTTCCTTTAACCTTTCCTTGTAAGTTTTATCTTACAATCCATGAACCAGTTTAGTAACCCTTCTCTGAACTCTCTCTAAAGTATCAATATCCTTCTGGAAATATGGTCTCCAGTACTGTGTACAATACTCCAAGTGAGGTCTCACCAGTGTTCTGTACAATGGCATGAGCACTTCCCTCTTTCTACTGCTAATACCTCTCCCTATACAACCAAGCATTCTGCTAGCATTTCCTGCTGCTCTATTACATTGTCTGCCTACCTTTAAGTCATCAGAAATAATCACCCCTAAATCCCTTTCCTCATATGTTGAGGTTAGGACTCTATCAAATATTCTGTACTCTGCCCTTGGGTTTTTACGTCCAAGATGCATTATCTTGCACTTATCCACATTAAATGTCAGTTGCCACAACTCTGACCATTTTTCTAGTTTACCTAAATCATTTGCTATTTGGCTTATCCCTCCTGGAACATCAACCCTGTTACATATCTTAGTATCATCAGCAAAAATACATACCTTACCATCAAGACCTTCTGCAATATCACTAATAAAAATATTAAAGAGAATGGGTCCAAGTACAGATCCCTGAGGTACCCCACTGGTGACAAGCCCATGCTACGAATATACTCCATTGACTACAACCCTCTGTTGCCTGTCACTCAGTCACTGCCTTACCCATTCAACAATATTGGAATCCAAACTTAGTGACTCCTACAACATTCGCTAACTTCCAATCTTCTGGGACTACTCCTGTTAACAATGATTGGTTAAATAAATTTTGTTAATGGTTTTGCTAGTACACCACTAAGCTCTTTTAATAACTTTGGGTGTATTCCATCAGGTCCCATTGACTTATTTGTCTTTACTTTTGACAGTTGAAATAGAACCTCTTCCTCTGTACACTCACATATAACAAATGACTAATTTGTCCTTTTTTCCTAACTGAGGCCCCTTCCTTCATTTTCATCTGTAAGTACTGAACAATAATATTCATTGAGGCAGTGAGCTAGACCTTTATCCTCTTCTACATACCTCCCTTCTTTTGTTTTGAATCTAACTAATCCTTGTTTTACTTTCCTTTTCTCATTTATGTATTTAAAAATGTTTTGTCCCCTTTTTTTACTGACTGTGCTATTTTCTCTTCTGTGTGTGATTTGGAAGCTCTTATAACTTACTTAGCCTCTTTCTGCCTAAGACAGTGGGAGATATGGGGACACAGATACTAGGGACACTGGCTGGGAGACATGTGGACACTAAGAGACATTGGGACGCAGACATGTGGGGACATTGGGAGACAGGAGGACACAGACACTGGGAGACTAGGGGACACTGGGAACCATGGGGACACATGGAGACACTGTGTCTCTAGTGTCTCCATGTCCCAATGTGTCTCCCAATGTCCCTATGTCTCACAGCATCCCCAAGTGTCTCAGTGTCCTCAGGTTTCCCAATGTCTCAGTGTCCCCATGTCTCCATGTTGCCTTTCCCCCATCCTTCACTTACCTGAGCTTTAGACTGTCTCTGCTGTCTGGACTCTCTGTGCTGTGTAGCTACTCCCCCGCGGATCAGTGATTAGAGAGAGGCAGGGAGGGATATGCTGTAACTTCCTATCCCTGCCTCTCTCCACACATAGTGATACCTTTTGGCTGGTGCTGGTGTTGCAGAGTAATCTCCGTTTATGCTGAGAAAAATATCTGCATTTGTATTGCCGATATAACTGCAATACCGGCACCGGCCAGCAGCCTCAAATACTAGTCAGGTGGCAAACCTAAGAATAGTGTGTAAAAACCCAAAAACTTTATATGGGCCTATTCAATGGGCCTGCAGCTCCATCAGCCCCTATGTTAATCCGGGCCTGGGTGACAGGGCCGTACCTAGGGGTTGGTGAAGCTAGGCCCTGTGGGAGGCGCAAATAGGATTTGTCAGACTGACAGCAAACTTTTATTCCCCTCTCGGGATGCGTCCCCTGCGCCCCCTGGTAGAGTGCAGCTCCATAAGGGAACCACACGCACAGCATACTAGCAGGAGAGCGCGTTCCCCTAGTGCTCTGCTTCAGAGCACCAGGTGTCACGTAAGTACCCGGTGCTCATTCTGACCCACACAGCGCACCGTACATGGAGAGGCCCCACTCCTCTGTCATAACAGATAAAAAAGCAGGGACGGGAGCCATATATTTGTACAGAGCCTGCGCTACTTTTACCTAAGGTGTGTGTAAGGTGTGTGGGAAGATGCTAAGTGCCATGTCTATTTTACCCCTACTCCTACTTGGGAAGGAGAGGAGGGCTGAGACCAGGATTTCAGGAGTAGGGAGGTATGGATGAAAGGGGTAGGGAGGTATGGATGGAAGGGGTGGGGAGGTATTTCTTGCACCATAGTCCTCACTAAATTAGTGCCGCCACTGGTGGCAGGACAAAACAAAATAAAACCACCCCAGTGCAATAAGGAAAATGACTGCTTGTCACCTGCTTATTTCAAGTTGGCGTTGGAAAGTACTCCTTGCACTTGCATCCATTGCTAAGGCTACCTGCAGAAGTGCAGAATGAAGTCTGAAACACAATGCATGTTTATTTTAATTTGCATGTCAAGCTGGTAACTCTGGGATAGTTGTGGAAACATGATTTCTTGATTTCTGTGTCCAAGGAGGACCTTTCAAAGTCCAACTTGAGATGCACAGGTATTGCACAACAGTCATTTTCCTGATTGCTGTGTGGGGAATTTTATTGTATTTGGCCTCACCATAATCTTTTTGGCTCTATTATATATAGAAATGGCATGGCAGGCTTATGCAATGGACCACATACTGTAACGAAACCCCTCCCTTGTTTTTGCCTGGATTAGGGGTTTTAAAAAAAAGCAAAAAAAAAAAAAGAACAACAACAAATAACTTAACATCTGTGAGCTTTGAAATTGCTGTTTGTGAATGACTAAGTGTGTGCTGAATTTTTTATGATATATATATATATATATACACACACAGTGTATGATCATAAACTGAAACTAAATCACCCTTATTTTTTCAAAGTCAAGTGTTTTAAAGACCTATTAAAGGAAGACAAACACACATATTATGCTCCTAAAAATAAGTGAATAAAGTGCTAAAGCAATTGGGCTTCAAATGAAAAACTAAGAAAACTCAAAAATATGCATAGCTCTCTGTCAGCTTGTACATTTAAAATATAATAAAATAAGCATATTTTTGAATTTTCATTTCAACAGTCTGTTGTCCTTGTCACTGAATCTTGCCAGTGAAATACACCTTGTTTCTTCAATTGAAAAACTCAATATTAGGATGAAAACCAGCATTCTACTCATAATAATACAACTAATAACAAACATTACAGCTCTACGTCTATACACCATTCCATGTTTGCTAGCAGTAGTGTGTAGCAATGTAAAATCATATATTGACATAATTAGGAATAACAAACCTTTCTGATCCGCGCTGCATAAATATCCCAGGAGAAAAATCAAAAGAGTTTTAGGAATGGCTGCCATCATCTGACTATGAAGGGTCTTACGATGAAACTGGCAAATTAAGTAAACACTAAAGACAGATCAATTGTCCAAAGTCCAAATGTCTGTTTACTTTGACGACAAGGATAAACATTGGATAGCAGAGGGCTTCGGTTTAGACCATTCTCCCTGTAAAGCTCTGCTATGAAGAATTGTATTATGCAGTATAAGTGTGAATATTTTCTGCACTGGAAAAGATAAGATCAGTCTGATGGGAAGCAGTACAATATGGAATAGATCCATATGGAATGGATTAGTATAAGCATTTATTGATTGTTGTTATAAGTGCGGTTTAAGTAACAAAAGACTTATACCAATAAGTGGAGCACTCCAACACGTATATAGCTTACCAAGTGATATTCCACTCAATGGTAAAGTATAGCGTACATGTTAAGGAAAAAATACAAGAAAGAACAATATAGTGCAGATGGTATTTCCAAATATCAATTTAACTGTGATGTTAATATCAAAATGAATTGAACACTCACATTTTAAGGAGCCTGTATGTAAAAACACTGGCTCCGTATTATGGCTTGTGTGCTAATTAGGGTAGCACCACCCGTCTCCTTCAGTGTTTGGTGATTCTCGAACACAAAAAGCAGGGAAAGCGAACCAATGTGTAGATATTGTTTTTTCCTGTGTGTGTTTGTCCAGGATCCTTTGGCAACCGCACAGCCCTCTAGGGTAAGAAAACCAGGCCAAGACAAAGTCCAGTTTCAAAAAGGCCTCTGGTCTATTTATTTTCGGTTGTTGTGAAGTAACAGGATACAATGAACAGCAAATCTTTCTCCACAAAACACCTTCTTTCTCCTCCAAAACACTTCCCGAGAATCACCAAACACTGAAGGAGACGGGTGGTGCTACCCTAATTAGCACACAAGCCATAATATGGAGCCAGTGTTTTTACATACAGGCTCCTTAAAATGTGAGTGTTCAATTCATTTTGATATTACCATCACAGTTAAATTGATATTTGGAAATACCATCTGCACTATATTGTTCTTTCTTGTATTTTTTCCTTAACATGTACCCTATACTTTACCATTGAGTGGAATATCACTTGGTAAGCTATATACGTGTTGGAGCGCTCCACTTATTGGTATAAGTCTTTTGTTACTTAAACCGCACTTATAACTACAATTCTGTTTTGTGGAATAGAGGATATTTCCACACAAGTGTATTGAGCTGCCTGTAAATCACCTCTATTATCTAAACCACTCTTTTATACACACTCCTCTGTAAAAGGAGGTAACCTTTGACTGGTATTCATTTATTGATTGTTACTCAAGCAGTTGCCTGATGTCAATACGTCCGAGGTCGGGAGGGTGTTAAACAATCCAGACCAGGATCATGTTGTTTGATATGGATTTAACTTCTTTTATATAACTGAAATGAAAATGTGTATTGCACATAGAGATTCACTGTATTTTCTTATTTATATCTTATATTTTTCCTAACCATGTATCAAATATTTCTCATTTCTTGTAAGAATATATAGTGGAGGTGGGCAGCTCTTTTTCCATACAAAATTGGTATTTAATTTATATAAATAAGTGATTTTTTTAAGGGAATACTGTATTTACAGTTTCTGGCAATCAAAATATTGGTGGCGATAAGACAATGGATTGCTAAACATTTAAGATTATTTGTTGTTAAATTCCATTTCACATGGAGCAGTGCTACTTCAGGTCCCCACTTCAAATTTCTATTAGATAAAACTATGATATGCCCATTTCCATAATTGTTTAACCAAAGGACATAACCACCATATATGGATGAAGGATCCAACTGGAATATCACATCTCTAGCAATGCGGAGTATAATCAGGGTACATCTTAAACTGTTAGAACTAGATACCATTTATACATTATCTTAAATTGGCATTCTATCATGGTCAATTGTATATTCAATCAGCTAAGAACAGTAATAATTCAAGCCTTGTTGATTTCCTTGAGGAGTCTGTATGAAGACACTAGGTTTAAATAAACTTTGCAAGTCTTCGGTGAAATAGGAACAATCCTTCCTAAAAAGGTGTGTATGTATTTTCATTTGGATGGAAACCCTGTAAGCATGATTTTTACTAGCTCACAACATTTGGAGGAAATTTAAAAACAATTATTCCTAGCAGTACAGTTTGGGACAATGCACCAAGGCAATGATCCTCTGAGATGTTGTGGGGCACTTATATATGGTTGAATGAATGACCACCCCACCAAATGCAGAGAGTCATGTTGCATATATGAATCTGTGTATATGTCTATGTGAGGTTGTATATATCTGTGTTTCTGACAATAGATGACTGTAGGTATCTGCGTTTGGGCCTATGTGTACATCTGTGTATGTCTATGTGTTAATGTATGTATTTGACACTGAATGCATGTTTGTAAGTGCATGCATTGTGTATGTACATGTGAATGGTTCCATATTCTAAAGACAAAATCTGATACAAATACATACCGGTACATACAATATTAACAACTTTGTACAGTATACCAGTAACAAAACAAAAAGCTAATTTAAGTCCTTGAACCAAATATCTGTGGTATAGTCCCACGATGAGGATGCAATAAAATATAACAATTATTTTGGAGAAACACATGGAAAGTTGACTTTTACCTTAACAGAATACAGCTTTATGACTTTGTATGTGTTAGGGGCATCTATCGACTTCTTTGGGGGAAGCACTAAGAATTCACTCTTTCGATGTCATGCCTGTGCAGACACAATCCGAAATAAACTGACGGGTGACAAGGGATTGGCTAAGATATCCCAGGTGTATCTTGATTGAAATAATCAGTTAAAAAAACAAAACAAAAAAAAAAAACAGCAAAACTAATACCTTTCTCTTACAGGAGTATATTTTTCCAATATTTATTTTAGAATGTTTTACTTAATGCTCTTTAAATTAATTATGTTTTAATGTCTTTTTAAACAAATTAGGTCATATCCACCCGGGATTTTTTTATTTAACAAATATAAAAAAACGTTTCCAACTTTTTGCATTGCAAGAGTTTTGCACATTTATTTTTAACTTGCATTTAGAAATTCCTGCAGTAAAGGTATGTCATATTGACATTTTAATAAGGTGGCTTATTAAAAATATATTTTGCAGATGAGCACTTTATTCATTGAATCCCTACAGCATACTATATAATTTAGTATTCTCTGTGCTTAAGAGGTAATAGCAAGAGAATACATTAAGGCAGGCACATAAAAATGACATGTAAATATTGGTTTCTGTTTGTTATAATTTCTACATATATCAATGCAATCCATGACCATAAAAAAAAACAAAAAAGCAAAAAAAAAACAAAAACATAACATAGGGGTTCATTTTTTTATTTTAAAAATGTTAAAAACCTCAAGAGAACACCCCATGCACTATAACCACTACAGCTTTATGAAGTAGTGTTGGTGCCATTTGACAGTGAAATTACTTTAATTCTGCAGCTGTAGTCACACCTTCCCTGGCTGTGACTCACACAGACTCTTTGCACATCTTAAAAATAGGGATCCATTTTACCCTATCTTAGGTTCAGTACCAGTATTTACCTTAGATCTTTAATGGGGTGGTGAGGTCCTTCTAATATCCATGCTCGGTGCACTGAAATGTTCGCAGCTCTGTTAATTGCATACTAAAGGTCAGAAAGCCTTGTTGCCTGTCAGGAACTATCTGTATAAGGTAAGATAAGGGTCTCATAAGAATAATAAAAAACAACTAAAACCTGCAGACTGTCAGAGAAGGTATTAGGTTACTGTGAATATTTTTTTTTTTTTATCATTCTTGATTTTTGTAGTGCATAGAACAACAGATAATTGTGGATTTACATTTCCTAAGGGTAGATATAGCAGTTTAGAGAAATATTCAAGGTCTGACTGCACTTTTTATAACAGAATTCATAGGAGAAAACAGCAACATAGGTCTAGACGTGCAAGCAAAGTTATATAGGTACATGCTATAGAAAACTATGAAACTGTGGATAGTTTCTAAAGGTAAGAACCACTGGATACATTTATTACATCTCTGCAGGTAAGTTGGAGTGGTGAGAGACAGTTGTCCGCCTCGGCGGCCTACTACGCCCTCTCCACTGCAGTGCCTCTCTGGGTACACATGGGGGATATTGATGCAAGTGGTGACGTTCTGCAGGACAGCTCTAAAGTGCTGCAACTTGGACATCAGGAGTGGAGGTAAGTCCACGGTCAGAGAGCATTCCCCTGAAGGTTTCGCATATGCAGTCAAATACCTTGAGTAGTGGTTCCACGTGTGTGAGTGATTGCGAGAAGGTACCCACTGCAGTAAATTCTGGCGGTGACCAATTTAACTCTTAGGCCTCAATTCTCAGATCTGCTCGTAAGCTGAAGGTCTTGGCAAGGTGATCTCTCCAAGATACCAGTGGGGACCAGGATAACACCCACCAGTCCAAAGGGGAGGACAGGGCACAAAGCCGACAGGCTCCAAATCAAGGATGAGGATTGGCCGTCTACTCGTCCTTGAGTGCAGCTGCTGGTAGCAGGAAAGTCTGCCACAGGTTATGTCCAACGGTTGCTGGCAAATAAGTACCAAGTAATCAGCAAAATGTTCCTCAGGATTAAAATAAGCTTTTTAGCTAAAACCTGAGCAATAAAGGCCACTTGTAGGCTCAGTAAGTAGGTTTCCCTGTAAAGCTTCTGCACTATGTGTCCATCTTGGTTATCTGTCATGCCCCGCCCCCTTTACTGTGAGTCTGTGAGTCTTTTAATCTATTTTTTGTTTTATACCTTTTCAAAATGATACATATATTGCTGGGATTGTGTACCAAAACATTTGCACAGAATATGGGCTAGGCCTGCCTAAGTCCAGATGGGAGATACCACAAAGGGTAGTTGAAGATGATAGGGTTAAGATTCTGTGGGACTTCCAGAGCCAGACAGACAAGCTAAATACTGGCCAACCAACCTGACATCACGTTGATAGACCACGAACAGAAGACTGCAGTGGTGGTGGATGTGGCAATACCCATGAGAAGATGAAAAAATATCAAGGATTGAAAGAAGAGCTAGAAAGGATGTGGAAAGTGAAGGCAGTAGTAGTCCCAGTTGTGATAGGACTTAAACAGCACTCTGGGCTGTGACTCCCAAGTTGGGGGAGTGGCTTTAACAGATTTCATCTGAGATCACTGTCCAGAAAAGTATACATACATACAAATAGGTTATATGGGGAAAAATTGTGATTGAAAACCTCTTCCACCTTTCAATCACAATTTTTCCCCACCATAACCTATTTGGATTTTGCTTCCCAAGCACTACCAAGCCTCAATAAGCAAACCAGTAACCAACCTCATGCTGATGATTTGCATTAACAATGAAACAGCTGTCCATGAGTGGTTTACTGGCTTTGCATCTTTTCCTAACTTGTGTTTCAAAGCTGTTGTATACAGCAAACACAGACTCAAAGGAATCCATGTTTAAAGTGGAACGAGGCAAAAATTTAATTCTTTATTAAACTAATTTGCATATGCCCACCCAGAACCCTTTGCGGTAGTAACATCACTGCAGATTTGTGATTTCTGTGGGAAAAGCAAGTCTTATGGCTTGACTGGTGTACAGATTTTGTTTAACATTGTATTAACTATCTACATACATATATATACATATATATATATATACATACACACACACACACACATACATATACACACACACTTTTTTTTTATTTTTTAACTAATGTCCATTTTCACGTATGCTTTATAGATTCCAAATGTGTTTGGTGTATATATACTCTAAAATGTTATTTGAGTAAATAATTATTGAGGTAATAATACGTTCTGTTTCCTGTGTTCATAGTGCTTCGGTATGAGAAGAATTGGATTGATCACTGAACAACAAAAGAAATACGTTTATGACAAGCAAAAAAAGGGGGTCGGAACAAACCAACTGCAAAAACAAATTTGCCTCTAAGAAAAGTTAAGATTTTAGTTAGTCAGGAAAGGAATTTTTAATAAATATTACAGGTTCGATTTTTTTTACCTTGTTGTACATTTTGTAATTTAGATATTCCCTTTATCAATTACTGTATGGAAAAGTCAAAATATTTTTGAAAAAGTTAACACATATGATTTTTAGGAATATATTACGGAGGATGAATTGGGCTATTTAGATATATAGGTAAGGCTTCAGGACTATTTACAGTTTCTCTAAAGTTTTACCACATTTTTGGCATTTCAAGTAATGTATGAGAAAATTCAAACACTCAAATGCTAAATATCAAAAAAAAGCTGACATTCTGTATATCCATAGACCCTTGATATTTGCACGTTTGTATTCCCACATACCTGGATTCAAAAGGGGGAAATCCACACATTGAATATCAGTTTATTTGGAGACTGGATAAATAAAATGAGCTAAACTTGTGGTTCCCAAACTTTTTAGGTTCAAGGCGCCCTTACTATTTCAATATTTTTCCAAGGCACCCCAAGTCAATTTTTTTTTATAGGTTGTGTATATATACAGTGCTGCGGCATATACTGGGCCCCTAATCTTGGAAGTGGCACTGGTAGATTATTTAAAGAAACAATCCAGGCACAATAACCACTACATTATATTATAGTGGTTATGGTGCCAGTAAGTGCCGTAGTGCCCTTCTAGAGTAAGTAGTCAAACTGTTTAAGAACAGTTTGACAACTTACCTGGGGTCTGCCAGGATAGGGGCTGTAGTTTGTAAGTGTGTGTGTGTGTGTGTGTGTGAGGGATGCAGTGTGTGTACAGGGGTGCATTGTGTTTGTGAAGGATGTAGTTTTTGTGTGTGTGTGAGGGGTGCATTGTGTATGTATGTGGGGCAGTTTGTGCATGAAGGGTACAGTGTGTGTGTGTGAGGGGGTAGGTTGTGTGACGGGTACAGTGTGTGTGGGAGTACAGTGTGTGTTTGAGGGGTAGAGTGTGTGTGGGGAGGTAGGTTGTGTGAGGGGTGTCAGGTTATGTGAGAGGTACAGTGTGTGTGTGGGAGGTGCAGTGTGTGTATGGGGGCAGTGTGTGTGTGTATAGGGGTAAATGTGTGTATGAGGGAGCTATTGTGTGGTGTGGGGTCTGAGGGGGTAGGAGGGCAAATTAATAAATATATACTTTTTTATATTAAAAATAAAATGATGTCACCCCTCCCTGCTTACCTTTGCCTGGGAGGGAGGACATTTCCTGCAATCACTGGTGGTCCTGGTGTGGAAGCCCTGGTGGTGACAGTAAACTCTAGCAGACACAGGAGCTGCTAGAGTTCACTCTTGCGAGATTCGGAGAATTGCAGTGGTAACCATGGCAATGCTCCGAGCTCGCGAGAGGAGAACCCGGTAGACCTGCAGGTTAGAGCTCCCCCATGTCCTCTCTCGCTCCTTACCTGCCGGCTGTCAGCAAAGTGCTAGTGGGCCGGAGAGGGAGATCTCTGGGGAGAACACAGAAAATAACTTGCGGCTCCCCTGCGTGCCCTGGGGCACCGCAGCACACAGTTTGAGAACCGAGTTAAACGATTGGAGACAGGTGTTAAACCTTAAGTTTTAATGAGATAACAACAATTTATTAACCAGACCCTAAAGAGAACCCAGCACATACAATTTAGATAATCCCTGCTCACGGATTGTTTATATGGTCACTACTCTGCTTGTACCTACGAGTGGCAAAAAGGTATCGGGTTCATTTTAAATTAATTATACTGTATGTCCACTGGATTGAGAAAATATGTTATCTTTAGTGAGCAGATTTATCATTAACAGTGCATTTGCATACTGCGCTGTACACAAATGTACACTGGATTACAAATACCATTTCATTAGACACAGATAAGGCCATGTGTGTTAGGACAAAAAATAAAAATAAAAAATCAATAGACAGACAGATGCCACAACCCGCACATCAAACAACAGTGGCAAAATTACACATTACCCACTGACAAAACAAATAACCTTTAACCTCTAGCTTCCATTTCAATGCATATGTGTTTTTTAGCTTGCATTCTGCCTGCATGGGTAAAACAGTTACTTGAGGCATACATTCACTATGCATTAGTGGATAGGTAAGACTAAAACAATGAAGTTGAGAAGTTATGGTAATAATTGGTTGATAAATACTAACCTATTCATTGGACTTGGTGGGAAGTAACAATAAGTAATAGAATAACTCCTGATGCCGACTCTGAAGTGTGGCACACTTAAGAATATTTTTTACATTAGGTTTAGTATTTTTTGAAAGTGGAACAGTTTTTGAAAGCAGATATTGGAGTTCTATTACAGATAAACGCCAAATCAAAAAATGTAATTAGGATAATGCTGATAATTTAAAGTACCAAATATAATAAAAAATCATATTGGGAAAAAAAACAAAACAAAACATATGGGACCCACAAACATATAGTATGGTATAATCCAATGCATCTGTTTTTCTCCCCATTACTAATAAACATTTAATCCCTGCTCACAAAAAGGAAGAACAACATTTACAAAAATGTTAGAATACACTTTTCACAATTCGAACTATCTAGCACAGTGAAAGGCCATTTGTTTTTACTTATCCCCAGGCCAAAAGTTACAAACATCCCCTTTTACTGGTTGCTCCTGTCCATATGCTCCAATATGCATTATAATGTGTATATTTGAGAAATAGTTTACAACGTTTTTGCATGCTTCCTTTCACATTACCAGCTTATTGGAATATCTCCAATGCAGGAGACATTTGACAAACTGTCTCCTCCTCTCATGGTGCAATGTTGATTTCCACTGGGACATTATACTGCCAATACTCCCAGTTTTTCCCAAAGCTTAGTTTTAATGAAACTTTTGTCAAGGTTTTATTTTCTGCTACTAGGAATACTAGTGCAACTGCAAATATATCATTAAATGAATTCCCACGCTCAGAGCGATATGGAGGAGGGAAGGAAAAAGACACGGATATAGTGTAGTATATTGAGATCTTGAGTGATGGTAAATGAAGAGACAGGGATTGCACTTACAATTTTCTGGAGCCTATATTCAGCTCCAGATATGTGCGCCTGGACGGTACAATCCCCGCCTGTGGATATGTAGATGGTCCTTGGATGTCCTCAAAAAGGGGGTCTCCAGTGGTGGTAGGGTATATCTCCTTTCCAATGGCAGTAGGCCAGAGGTATACTCACAAGTGCAGAGCAAATAGGATATTGCTCAATATATGTAGGCGTAGGTGGTATGATCCCCACCAAGGATATCACTTCTCGAGTTCTCCAGTGGGGGTGTTGGAGAGAGTAAAAGGAATTATATTATAAAATAAAATAAAATAGAATAAAAGGATAGGCTTGGAGGCTCCAATAGCATAAATGTTAAATAGCAGATACAATTACATCATCACAATTCGTGACATCATCAATCATGTGACATAGAAAACATATTAAAACGTATTAAAACAAACAATAATACAGAGCAGATGGGAGGGGGACATAAAATAGGTAGACCTATTTTATGTCCCCCTCCCATCTGCTCTGTATTATTGTTTGTTTTAAATTCAATTGCAGCTTTTTTTCACAAACTTTGAATGTAACTCTTTGATAGACATTTGTGTATATATAAATTGTGAAAACAGTTTCCTTTCCTTTGATACCTTGTCCTGGAATCAGGGTTTTACACAGCCTTTTCAAGCTTCAGAGACAGTGCACACTCTGGATAAGGTAAACTGACCTTGGTCTTTTTATTGTGCTTCCAAAACAGGGTACAGCAAAGGATAACAAAATAAAGAAAAACAAAACCATAGAAACATAGAATGTGATGGCAAATAAGAACCATTTGGCCCATCTAGTCTGCTCAATTAGTCCCTAGCCTTATCTTATAGTTAGGATAGCTTTATGCCTATCCCACGCATGCTTAAACTCCTTTACTGTGTTAACCTCTACCACTTCAGATGGAAGGCTATTCCATGCATCCACGACCCTCTCAGTAAAGTAATACATCCTGATATTATTTTTAAACCGTTGCCCCTCTAATTTAAGACTATGTCTGTAGCAGAGATACAATATTCCACAGATTATCTCCGCTTAAGATCCCAGGGAGGCTCAGGAACAAGTAATTATAAATCCACAAGGCAAGGTTTCCAGCAGGTAAAATAATCCAACAGTATCCCAACAGCAATCCCAATAACTGGATGACACACAGCATCAGGAGCAGAACTGAAAACCTTTATTCCACAGTGGCCTTATATAGCATGCTCCCATGCAAGGGAGGGACTTTCATCAATTATTACAGTACCCAATCCGACAATAGTAACCTCCCACCCATCTCCTCCCCTCAGCCTGACTCATAATCCCCTTACACTGTACACAAATTCCCCCAGTTTCTGGATGTACCCCTAAACCTAGGGGTACCCCTTTAAATGGCACATCCCCTGGTAGCTCTGATCTGGGTGAGCAACATATCCAAAAATCACCCAGATAGGACCAGGGGTTCGGGAAATTTATGGAAGTACTAAAAAGACAGACCGCGCTGGAGAGAACAGCCGAATTGGGTTCCATGCGATGGGGCCCTGCGGTCGGTCCCAGTATAAGGGAATAAATTACACGAAAGGCTAAGGCTACAGAGATCAGGTAGGGTTCGCATGAATCCCCTCGTTCGGTTGTTTCTGTCTACCGAACGAGGGGCAGCTCGGTAGTTTGGAACCGAACGGACCGGGCTTGTTGAGGTCTCAGCGGTGTTCGCCTAGTCGAGTGTCCGATTTGAGTTCCAGACACTCGACGGCAAAACACAGCTGTTCGGTAGTTTTAAAATGGCAGCCACCACGTGTTCGTTTCCCAAATGGCGGCCACCCCGCGAACAAAGGACCTACTGCATAGCTTGTTAATTACCCGTTCGCAACATTGTTGCAACGGGTAATTGAAGGCACACTTCACACAGGGGAGGTCTGATTGTTCGGTAGTTTCATTCCCTTAGTTTATTCAAATGATTCTAAACTTTATTTCAACACATACAAAACCAGCAGTTTACACGAATGCAGTTATACACATGTAATTTTCAGGACAGCCCAGTGCCATCTGCTACACTGCTCCCCCTTGCCCACAAGCCGGCATACACAGTCTGATCCAGCACAGATCGGCTTGGGGATGTCCAAGGGCTCACGGATCACTTTTCCAGGTCAGTTTGTCTCGACAACCCGTCAGCATTCCCATTCTGTTTACCCGGGCGGTACTGAATATTAAAGTCAAAGGGCTGCAGCACCAAGCTCCAGCGCAGCAGCGTGGCAGTGTCCCCAGCCTCCCGGTTCAGCCATACCAACGGGTTGTGATCCGTGACCAATGAAAAGGGCTGTCCATACAAATACGGCTGCAGTTTCTTTAGGGCCCACACCACAGCCAGACATTCCTTCTTGATGGCGGCGTAGCTTACTTCGCGGGGTAGTAACTTGAGACTGATGTAAGCCACGGGATGTTCTCCGCCATCGGCCCCGACTTGGCTCAGTACTGCCCCCATTCCAAACATAGAAGTGTCTGTGTGAACAAGAAAACGTTTAGTTGGATTGGGCGCTGCCAAGACAGGGGCATTTATCAGTGCCTTTTTCAGATGTTGGAATGCCTGCTCACACTCCGGGGTCCAGGTCACCTGGCGGGGCAGATTCTTCCGGGTCAGGTCAGTGAGGGGTTTGGCCAGGGCACTATAGTTAGGGACAAATTTTCTGTAATACCCAGCGGTCCCTAGAAATGCTAAAACTTGGGTCTTAGTCCTGGGGGTGGGCCACTGGGCCACGACCTCTACTTTGGCTGGTTCGGGCTTCTGCTTGCCGCACCCCACTCTATGTCCCAGGTATTGCACCTCGGCCAACCCTATACTGCACTTGGCCGGTTTCAATGTCAAACCAGCCTCCCTAATCCTGTCTAGGACCGCTCCTATATGGGCCAAGTGCTCCTGCCACATATTGCTAAAAATGGCAATATCGTCCAGGTAGGCACAGGTATAGTCCTGGAACCCACCCAGGAGTCGGTCCACCATCCTCTGGAAAGTAGCTGTGGCGTTTTTCATCCCAAATGGCATGACCTTAAACTGGTACAAACCAAATGGGGTGACAAAGCCCGACTGGGTGGCATCTGGGGCCAGGGGAATTTGCCAATACCCCTTACATAAGTCAATAGTAGTGAGGTATTGGCCCCTGGCCATCCTGTCTAATAATTCATCTATCCGTGGTATAGGATAGGCATCCGACACGGTTTTCTCGTTCAATCTCCTGTAGTCCACGCAGAAGCGAGTCGTACCGTCTCGCTTTGGTACGAGCACTACAGGAGAAGCCCGGGGACTGTCTGAGAGCTCTATCACCCCCAGTTGGAGCATCTCATCGATCTCCTTGCGCATATTCTCCCTCACCGCTTCAGGGATGCGGTAGGGGGTCTGGTGCATGGGTAGTTGCCCTGGGGTCTCTACCCAGGGAGTGGCCAGAGGGGTGTAACCAGGTACATTAGAGAACGTGTCTCATTTCTCTTCCAATAGCTGCTGTACCTCGATACACTCCTGTGGGCTCAGCCGGTCTCCTAGTGCAACCTCCCCTAAATCTCCAGACAACTGCCCATCTCCCAGCAGATCTGGGAGAGGTAAGCTGTCAAACTCATCAGAGTTGGGCGCACATATGGCGGTTACCTCCTCGGAGCACTCCTGGTAGGGCTTCATCATGTTCACATGGAGCATGCGTCGCCCTCCAGTCCCTGTGCAGGGGCCGATTATATAGGTGGTGTCACATCTCTGTTCCACCACCCTATATGGTCCCTGCCTGGCGGCCTGTAGCTTGTCATGTCGGACAGGTTTTAAATTTAACACTTTCTGCCCGACCTGAAAGCTACGGTCCCTGGCTCCCCGATCATACCACGTGCGCTGGTGGGTCTGCGCCGCCTGAAGGTTTTCCCTTACCGTCCTAGTCAACGCTTCCAGGTGATCTCGTAATGCCAACACATATGGTATGATGGGAGTGCCATCTGCGCTCCGGTCCCCCTCCCAATGCGCTCTAATCAGATCTAGGGGGCCTCTGACTCTCCTCCCAAATTGCAGTTCAAACGGGGAAAACCCCGTGGACTCCTGCAGCACCTCCCGGTAAGCGAATAGGAGATGCGGCAGGAATCGCTCCCAGTCCTTGTGGGTCTCTGCAAAGGTTCGGAGCATTTGTTTCAATGTACCATTGAACCGTTCGCAGAGCCCATTAGTCTGGCGGTGGTAAGGTGCACTGATAATAGGCTTAATGCCACAGATCCTCCAGAGGTGTTGGGTGAATTCTGCTGTAAATTGGGTACCCTGATCCGAGATAATCTCCCTGGGTAATCCCATCTGGGAGAAGATCCACATGAGGGCATCCGCGACCGTTTCAGCGTGGATGTTGGTCAGAGCCACTGCCTCTGGATATCTAGTGCATAATCTACCACAGTTAAAATGTACCTTTTGCCTGATGGGCTAGCTTTCTTGAGGGGGCCTATCAAATCTACTGCTACTCTACTAAAGGGTTCCTCAATTATGGGTAGGGGGTGTAGTTTCGCCTTCAATCGGTCTCCCCTTTTCCCTACCCTCTGGCAGGTATCGCACGTATTGCAATACCTGCGCAATTCCTGGCTCATCCCTGGCCAGAAGAAACTTTGGGTCAGTCTGTACCTAGTGCGACTGACCCCTAAATGTCTGGATAGCGGAATATCATGCGCTATCCGGAGTAACTCTGCTCGGTACCGCTGCGGCACCACTAGCTACCTCATCACTATCGGGTCTGACCCAGCTATCTGCTTGTCTGACTCCCTGTATAGAAGCTGCTTGTCCCAGACAAATCTCTCTCCCTCCCCCCCGGTGAGTCAGTGACAACCTTGTCCCTATAGACTTGCAGCGTAGGGCCGGTTACTACTTCAGCTGCAAATTCATTAGGTGGGGCCCAGGGGACACATTCTAAGGAAGGGGAAGGGTCTCTTACCGGAACCTCTGGGAGTGTGTTGTAGTCCTGGGTGCAGGCCTGTTGTCGGGTGACCACAGGGTGAGCTTCTCCTGTGGGGGGTGTCTGGGGCTCAAAAGCAGATGTGAGCCTCCCCAGATCGTTCCCCAACAAAACCTCCACCGGTAACTGCGGCATCAACCCCACCTCCACGTGTCCTGACCCCGCTTCCCAATGCAAATGTACCCTTGCTGTAGGTAGCCGGTACACTGCTCCCCCGGCTACCCTGACGGCTACAGTTTTACTGAGCTTAGCCTGATCCGAAACCAGGTGACTCTTTACCAGGGTGATAGTAGCTTTTGAGTCACGTAGTCCTTGGACTGCTTTACCCTCCAAGTATACAGTCTGTCTATGGTGCTGACTATTATCAGCATTGGCCTGGACTGGATCGGCTTCGTGCAAAACTTCCCACTGTTCCACGGTGGTAATGGGCACTGCTGAACCATACGGTGTTGCAACTATGTCCTGGTAGCAGTGTGCTGTGGCCGCTCTTGGTGGTGGTGGTGGGCCTGGTCGGATCCTGGTTCATGGATTGCAGGATAAAACTTACAAGGAAAGGTTAATGAAACTTATCATGTATAGCTTGGACAAAAAACGAGACAAATTTAGAATATGTGTAAAGGAGTCATTGTCAGACTGGAACAATTTAAATGGAGTCAAAGAGAAATGGGATTATTTAAATGTTGCACTGCTGAAGGCAACAGAAAATTGCATTAGGCTTGTCAGTAAAAGCAAAAAAATTAAGAAACCACTGTGGTACTCCACAGATGTAGCCAGAGTGAGCAAGATAGACATATCTATAAAATTAGGCAGAAAGAGGCTAAGCACCTTGTAAGAGCTCCCATATCACACACACAAAATAGCACAGTCAGTAAAAAAAGGGATCAAAACAATTTTAGATACATAAATAAGAAAAGGAAACTAAAACAAGGATTAGTTAGATTAAAAACAAAATAAGGAAAGTATGTAGAAGAGGATAAAGGTCTAGCTGACTGCCTCAATTAATATTTTTGTTCTGTATTTACAGATGAAAATGAAGGAAAGGGGTCTCGGTTAGGAAAAAGGACAAATGAGTCATTTGTTATGTTATATTTACAGAGGAAGAGGTTCTGTTTCAACTGTCAAAAGTAAAGACAAATAAGTCAATGAGACCTGATGGAATACACCCAAAGTTATTAAAAGAGCTTAATGGTGTACTAGCAAAACCATTAACAGATTTATTTAACCAGTCATTGTTAACAAGAGTAGTCCCAGATGATTGGAAGTTAGCAAATATTGTGCCCATTCACAAGAAAGGTAGTAGGGAGGAGTTGGGCAACTATAGGCCAGTAAGCCTTACTTCAGTAGTGGGGAAAGTAATGGAAACCATGTTAAAGGATAGGATTGTTGAACATCTAAAATCACAGGGATTATAAAATAAGAGACAACATGGGTTTACTTCAGGGAGATCATGCTAAACTAATCTTATTGATTTTCTTGATTGGGTAACTAAAATTATAGATCAGGGTGGTGCAGTAGACCTTGATTACCTAGATTTCAGTAAGGCTTTTGACACTGTTGCACATAGAAGGATTATCAATAAACTGCAATCTTTATGTTTGGATTCCAATATTGTTGAATGGGTAAGGCAGTGGGTTGTAGTTAATGGAGTATATTCGGAGCATGGGCTTGTCACCAGTGGGGTACCTCAGGGATCTTGGACCCATGTACTTGGACCCATTCTCTTTAATATTGCAGATGGTCTTGATGGTAAGGTATGTCTTTTTGCTGATGATACTAAGATATGTAACAGGGTGGATGTTCCAGGAGGGATAAGCCAAATGGCATATGATTTAGGTAAACTAGAACAATGGTCAGAGTTGTGGTAACTGGCATTTGATGTGGATAAGTGTAAGATAATGCATCTTGGATGTAAAAACCCAGAATATTTGATAGAGTCCTAACCTCGACATCTGAGGAAAGGGTTTTAGGGGTAATTATTTTAGATGACTTAATGGTAGGCAGACAATGTAATAGAGCAGCAGGAAATGCTAGCATAATGCTTGGTTGTATAGGGAAAGGTATTAGCAGTAGAAAGAGGGAAGTGCTCATGCCATTGTACAGAACACTGGTGAGACCTCACTTGGAGTATTGAATGCAGTACTGGAGACCGTATCTCCAGAAGGATATTGATACTTTAGAGAGAGAAGGGCTAGTAAACTGGTTCATGGATTGCAGGATAAAACTTACAAGGAAAGGTTAATGAAACTTATCATGTATAGCTTGGACAAAAAACGAGACAGGGGGGATATGATAGAAACATTTAAATACAGTAAAGGAGGAGACTATATTTAAAAGAAGAAGAACTACCACAACAAGAGGACATTGTAGCGGATGGCACTGGGCTGTCCTGAAAATTACATGTGTATAACTGCATTCGTGTAAACTGCTGGTTTTGTATGTGTTGAAATAAAGTGTATTCGTCTGATTGTTCAGTAGAATCATTCAAATAAATTAAGGGAATGAAACTACCGAACAATCAGACCTCGCCTGTGTGAAGTGTGCCTTCAATTACCCGTTGCAACAATGTTGCGAACGGGTAATTAACAAGCTATGCAGTAGGTCCTTTGTTCGCGGGGTGGCCGCCATTCGGGAAATGAGCACGTGCTGGCGGCCATTTTAAAACTCCCAAACAGCGGTGTTTTGCCGTCGAGTGTCTGGAACTCAAATTCGGACACTCGACTAGGCGAACACCGCTGAGACCTCAACAAGCCCGGTCCGTTCGGTTCCAAACTACTGAACGGCCCCTCGTTCGGTAGACAGAAACAACCGAATGAGGGGATTCATGCGAACCCTACCTGATCTCTGTAGCCTTAGCCTTTTGTGTAATTTATTCCCTTATACTGGGACCGACCGCAGGGCCCCATCGCATGGAACGCAATACGGCTGTTCTCTCCAGCGCGGTCGGTCTTTTTAGTACTTCCATAAATTTCCCAAACCCCTGGTCCGATCTGGGTGATTTTTGGATATGTTGCTCACCCAGATCAGGGCTACCAGGGGATGTGCCATTTAAAGGGGTACCCCTAGGTTTAGGGGTACATCCAGAAACTGCGAGACACATCATATGCCATTTGGCTTATCCCTCCTGGAACAATCCCGTAGTTGTGGGCATTCTCTTTTATAATGCCCCAATTTCTGGCAGTGATGACAGGGCCCAGAGCTCGAAGCCGTGGCTGTGCAGCGGGCGGTGGTGGCGGTGGTAGTTGCCTTGGTGGTGCTGGGGTGTAGTTGGTTCCCCCAAAGGTTTTCCATGGGGTTTTTGGAACTGCAGGTTTTTGTTGCCTGCGTGCGTCCAGGTACTCATCTACCCTTCTAGCAGCTTCTGTGAGGGAGGTAGGGTTTCGGTCCCTTACCCACTACTGGACATCTGCTGTTCACCTCAATAACGTTTATTAGGCTAGATGTTATGCTATCCTTCACATACAGGGCCACCCCTACCCCTTTCTTGCCTTCCCTGTCTTTTCTATATACAGAGTACCTTGGTATTGCTATGTCCCATGGCTTGATAATATTCCACTATTTTTACTTGTTGTTCCTTTTTGAAATTACCCATGATGACTCTCCCAAGACAAAACTGAAAAAACAAAAAACAAAAAAACAATCAAATCGAACTACTAACAAACAAGTTATTTACCTGGCAAATCCTACTCTGAATTTTGGCCCACCCTGTGTGTATATATAAAGAGTATGTGTTTCTTTTCCAAGGAATACTTAATTTAATTTTAGCTAATATTTAAGAACATCTCTTAAATTTGTTACGAATATTATTTTAGAATTAGAAGAAAAAAAACATTGGAGACAGAGACACGGTCACTATTAAAAAAATAATAATAGATATCAGAATCTGTTATAACTATAACTGGTTGAAGTGGGGGTATGTTACAATCAGAATATGAATTAAAGGGACACTATAGTCACCTGAACAACTTTAGCTTAATGAAGCAGTTTTGGTGTATAGAACATGCCCCTGCAGCCTCACTGCTCAATCCTCTGCCATTTAGGAGTTAAATCCCTTTGTTTATGAACCCTAGTCACACCTCTCTGCATGTGACTTGCACAGCCTTCCATAAACACTTCCTGTAAAGAGAGCCCTATTTAGGCTTTCTTTATTGCAAGTTCTGTTTAATTAAGATTTTCTCATCCCCTGCTATGTTAATAGCTTGCTAGACCCTGCAAGAGCCTCCTGTATGTGATTAAAGTTCAATTTAGAGATTGAGATACAATTATTTAAGGTAAATTACATCTGTTTGAAAGTGAAACCAGTTTTTATTTCATGCAGGTTCTGTCAATCATAGCCAGGGGAGGTGTGGCCAGGGCTGCATAAACAGAAACAAAGTGATTTAACTCCTAAATGGCAGCGAATTGAGCAGTGAAATTGCAGGGGAATGATCTATACACTAAAACTGCTTTATTTAGCTAAAGTAATTTAGGTGACTATAGTGCTCCTTTAATAATCATTTGTATGGTGTATTGATTAAACAATCAAAATATGTGGCAGGATCATTACCACAAGGTATATGTTCCTTTAATCATCACAAACCAAATAACATTTTCTTGGTATTTAAAAAAACAGAATAAAATATTTGATCACATGTATTTTAATATATGTGTGTGTGTGTGTGTATATATATTATATATATATATATATATATATATATATATATATTTATTGGTATGGATGTTGAATTTATATCTTTTACATATTTTCACCTGTTTGCAATAGGTGACCTAAATTATTAATTTCCAAATTCATCATGTATATCACCTGGGAGGGTTTATCCAAAATAGAGAAAATTTATGACAAACTTACTGTAATTTTCTTTTCCTGGCTATTTCTCATGGCAGCATCACTTATGGGTAGCTCCTCCCTTAGTAGTCACAGGACAGGAATTAATTAGATTAATTAATCAGACTGATAGGTATAAAGAGTCCCTCCTCCTCTTACACCTCAGCTGAAATAGTGAATGGGCGGGAACCCTGATGCTGCCATGAGAAATAGCCAGGAAAAGAAAATTACGGTAAGTTTGTCATAAATTTTCTCTATTCCTGGCTAATCATGGCAGCATCACTTATGGGTAATACCCAAGCTTCACAAAAATCTAGGGTGGGAAATAATAATGTAAAATTTACACAAAGCCGAAACACATGCAGCAAAGAAAGTTTAATATTAAGTGGATAAAGAGACCGTAGAGAGGACACTCTTCCCAAAAGTGGTGGAAGGAGACTCCACATCAAGTTGGTAGTGCTTCATAAACGTCATCGGAGAAGACCATGTGGCTGCTCTGCAAATATCATCGTATGGAACCTCTGCCCAGCTAGCCCATGAAGTTGATAATGCTCTAGTAGAATGTGTTTTTATCTCCTGAGGAGGTGATAACCCTTTAGAGACATATGCCTTCTTAATTATCAGAGAAATCCAACGTTTCAACGTAGACAAAGAAGCCGCCTCACCCCTCCTAGTACCCAACGGCAAAACCAAGAGTTGGTCCGTCTTACGGAAAGACTCAGAACGTTTAAGATACGCAGACAAGCAGTTCATGACATCCAAACGTTGCCATCTAACCTCTTCCTGAGAAGAAGGGTTGGGGTAAAATGATGGAAGAACCACTTCTTGAGAGAGGTGAAATTGAGAAACCACCTTAGGAAGAAACTCTGGTTTTGGTTTCAGACACACTCTATCTTGGTAGAATTGTAAACAAGAAGATGATGTAGAAAACGCCTTAATCTCTGAAATCCGTCTTGCAGAAGTAATTGCCACCAAAAACAAAGTTTTATACGTCAGGAGAGAAGCATCCAAACCTTCAAGAGGAACAAACAGATCCTCCGTGAGATAATTGAGCACCATAGGAAGGTCCCAAGGAGGGGTAGTAGATCTGGAAGGAGGCCTCAACCTGAAGGCCGCTTTGAAGAACCTGGAAATCAAAGGATCCGAAGCACAAGAGATGTTGCACAAAGCTGAGAGAGCCGAAGACTGAACCTTCAAGGTGCTGAGGCTAAGGCCCTTGTCCAGGCCCTCTTGCAGAAACTCCAAAACATCCGTATTGCTAGGATGTAGAAAGTCCACATTATTGGATGATGCCCAAGACTGAAACACATCCCAGACCCTATGGTAGCATGAGGAAGTGGAAGCCTTTCTAGAGAGCAGAAGGGTATTGATCGCTGCCTCTGAGAGACCTAGTAATTGGAGCCTTTCCTTCTCAAGATCCATACCCCCAGTTTGAGGCGTTCTGGATGAGGATGGAATACCGGGCCCTGTGTTAGCAGATCCTCCATCACTGGCAGAGGCCAAGGTTGTTCCTGGCTCATCATGGTCAATAGGGGAAACCACGGTCTCCGAGGCCAAATTGGAATTACGGCAATGACTTTCCTGCCTTCCGACCAAACCTTCCGCAGGAACCTGGGTATCATAGGTAGGGGAGGGAAAGCATACCCCAGATCGAACGACCAAGGGAGAGAGAGAGCATCCTGGCCCAGTGCCTGACGGTCTGGGTGGAGAGAGAAGTAATTCTCCACCTGGTGGTTCTGAGATGATGCTATCAGGTCGATCTGGGGCATGCCCCACCGATGAACAATTTCTGCAAAGATCGCCAGGTGAAGATGCCATTCTCCCGGAAGAATTTCCCTCCTGCTGAGGAAGTCTGCTGTTACGTTCTCTGAGCCTGGGAGATAAAAAGCCTTTAGACCTTGAAGAAACGTCATGGCTATAAGGGAGCGAGCTCTTCCAGTAGCAACCTGCTCCTCGTGCCACCTTGGTTGTTCACATATGAGGCCACCGCTCGGTTGTCTGTTTTGATTAGAACCCAAGAGTTCTTTAGCCTTGGTAGGAACCTCAAAACGGCCTTGTAAACCGCTCTTAGTTCCCTTAAATTCGAGTGTAGGCGACTCTCTTCTCGGGTCCATTTCCCTTGAGTCCATACCGAACTAAAGTGGGCACCCCATCCAAAAGAACTGGCATCTGTCGTAATAACCTTCCAAGGGGGGTCTTCCAACGGGAAGCCAGTCGTCAAATTCTTCTCGCTCCTCCACCAGTTTAAGGTTTTCCTTACAGGAAGGGGAAGAGATATCACCTGTTCCCAATTTGCTTCCACTCTGTTGAACTGAAGAAGGAAGCAGTTCTGGACCGGACGGAACTTCCACTGGGCCCACTTCACCAAGCCTATTGTAGACGTCAAGGAACCTAGGAGGCTCATGACTACTCTTGCAGGTGCAGCTTCGAGATCTTGTAGTCCCCTTACTTTGTCTCTGATCTTCTTGACCCTTTCCGGAGACCGAAACACATGTGCAGACACGGTATTCACTACCGCACCCAGGAAAATAATCGTTTGTGCAGGAACGAGGGAGCTCTTTTCCATGTTCAGGAGCCAACCATGGTCTTGAAGAATGGACATTGCCACTAACGTATGTTGAGCCACGATTCCTTGAGATGGACCCAAGATAAGAATGTCGTCCAAGTAATGGAATATCTCGATACCCTTTTCCCTTATAAAGGCTATTAAGGCGACTAGAACTTTTGAGAACGTTCTTGGAGCCAGACTGAGGCCAAACAGTAGACCCCGGAACTGGAAGTGCCTTCCTAGCGCCCAAAACCTGAGAAAACGTACATGATCTTGATGTATCGGGATATGATAGTAGGCGTCCCTTAAATCTATTGAGGTCATCCAGTCTCCTATTTTGACACACTTCAAGATAGTCCTCAAGGATTCCATTTTGAACGTCCTTACGTTGAGCAAGGAGTTCACGCCTTTCAAATTCAAGATGAGACGCCATTTTCCCTGAGGTTTTGGGGCCAAGAAGACCGTGGAGTAAATTCCCTGGAACCATTCTCGTTTTGGAACTTCTTCCACCACTTTTTGTTCCAGGAGCACAGAAATGCAGGATCTCATGGCCCTTCGTTTGATGCCTACCGGCACCTTTGATTTTTTGAAGAATGCAGTTTTTGGGTGAGATGAGAATTCTATTCTGTAACCTTCTTTCACGATCGAAGTGACCCATAGGTCTGAAATATTGCTGGCCCATCTGGGGTAAAAGAACGTCAGTCTTCCTCCCACCATCCCCGAACGGGCCTGGGGACCTTCAGAAGTTCTTTCCTGAGGTCCTAGGACCCCTTCCTCTGGAAGCCTTATTGGAAGATGAGTGCGGATAGGATTTCCATGTGGAATTCCTGGAAAACTCCCTTCCCGGTTTATAGCTTCTGCTGCCCCGAAAGGACCGATCCTTGAAGCGCTTGGTCTTCCAGGAGGAGGGAAAAGTCTTCCTGCCAGCTTGAGGTAAGAACGCCTTTTTCCCCATCAGCAGCTTTTTGAATAGCATCTTCCAGAATCTTCCCAAAAAGGAGATCCCCCTGAAACGGAAGAGCACACAGGGAAGCCTTAGAGGCATAGTCAGCACCCCATGAATGAAGCCACAAAGCCCTTCTAGAAGCCACAGACAGGGCCATGCTTTTAGCAATCATGCGAGTGATATCCAGGGAGGCCTCTGAACAGAATTCCGTGGCTAGATTAAAGTCCTTGAGGCTTTCCAACAGATGTTCCCTACGGATACCCTGCTCAATGTCATCCTTCAGATTAGCGAGCCACACTTTCAAGGCTCTGGAAAGAGTCGTCAGTGCCACTGCCGGATGAAGGGCGGACCCTAGGGCCAAGTAGGCTTTAATCAGGTCTCCATCCAAACGCTTCTCCATAGGCTCCCTGAGATATGCCATAGAGTCTATAGGCAGTGTAGTTTTCTTAGCCATATGGATCACTGCCGCGTCAATTTTAGGAACTGAGTTCCACAGGCCGCAATCCACCGCAGAGTACGGATAAACCCTCGCAAAACTTACTTTTTAAGGTGGACTTCTTTTCAGGCTTATTCCATTCTTGAAGGATCATATCCCTGATTGACGTACGTACCGGGAAAGTAGGCCTCAAAAAACCTGTCAGCCTCCTTCAATTCAGATCTTTCTTCAGTGAGACTAAGCGTGTCTCTGAGAAGGGTAATAAGTCTATCCACAGACCTGGAGTCCAGAGACCTGGAGGTATGATCAGCTTCCTCCTCACCTTCATCTGATACCTCCCAGACATCAGGGTCCTCATCAGAGCTGGAAGACTGAGGTTCCGCTCTGCGTCTCTTACTTGGACCACTAGAACCCGTGGTGGCCCTAAAGCCCTCAGCAATAGCCTGAGAAATCCAGAGCTTAAGGTCATCTTGTGGAGAGCTCCTACTGGGGGCATCAGCGACTTCCAACAAGCATTCTCTGCAAAGGTTCCTTCCATTCGGAGCGGGTGAAGAACAATTAATGCATTTATTTGACTTATCCCGAGATTTTCTTGCTGTAGAGTCCAAATGAATGCTGGGGCTGGAAAAAAGCCATATATGACATATATTAC